TTCGCACAAAACTCGATTATTCGCAAACTGGACTGTCCACTGATTACTTATCAAGGGTTTTCTAAATAGGCCTATAAGAATCTTATTGGATATTTTAGAGCGATACATGTGCGAATATTTGGCGCGAGCGCGCGGCCCCCGTGTATTTAGGCCTACGAGCTGAGCGCTAGCAACGCGCGGGCGCCACTCCGCTCCGGCGAACACTTTTAGCGCGATCCTGATAATATTGCGGACCCGATAGTGAGCTGTGGAGCCCTGATAAGGGTTCCGATACATCTATACGTTGATACAATGTTCGCGGGCCGATCGCGGAGTGAGCACGTGTGTACGGCGACTCCGGCGCCGCGGGCCGGTTGCGAATTCTTCGCTTGATGCAACAGGAGAGGGCGGAAAGCAAACGCGACAGGAATACTTCGGGATATAGTGGTCGTTTTAGAATGGGTTATTCTGTTGTAGGGTTGTTAGGGTTCGTTTCTAGGGTCGCAGGAGTGCGGAGGGTCGGGATTGTGGGGTCGTCGTGTCGGCCGACGGAGAGGTGAGGCGCGCGCGGCTAGCGATGGTGAAATGACGGCTCCCGCGCGCACCGCGTAACCTTGTATACACGACCTCGGGCCCGCGCTATGCCTAAAAGAAACATCCGACACACTGTAGGTATAACCACCTAATAGGTACCTAATTCTTTTTGGGGGCTCAACCTGCAGATCACCTGAGACAATCTCAACTTTCCTTTGATAAGTTGATAAGAAACAAGTGAATCGAGCCAGAAAAGTTTAGGGTTGATTAATTAGTTTTTGGTTTGAAAGTTTACTTGATCCTATCCTATTCTATCTTAATATAATAAATTTTACGTTGTTGTAAATAATAAAACAATTAAAATCTTTATAATTTAATGCCATAAAAAAAATAACAAAAATCTACCATGGAATAGTCAAAATTAGAAACAATTTCTTTACGAGAAATAATATTGACATCTTTAATTGTCCGTGGTAGGCGTAATTACTGAAGGAAGGTAAAACAAAAGGAAGTAAATGTTTTGTAAACAGTCCTTAAAATAGAATTCTGTTTGTGTTTTGAAAAAAAAATAGGTTAAAAATAACTTAATTTGATATTAAATATTATGGGATTTTCATGAAAATGTAATTTTCCTTTGCTACCAATTCAAAACTATCAAGTTACAGTGTCATTATTACGTCTATTTTTTTTAATAATTCTAGAAAACATTTAGAATAGATTCTTGACAATTATCGAAAGTTATTTTTGAATAACACGTGGTGAGCGTAATAAGTTATTAATTTGTGCCGTAACAAAGTATAGAAAAAATGATTTGTTTATTAAGGTAAAGAAAACTAACAAGTCCTATTTCAGTCCCACTTTTAATTTATGAAGATTTAGCCCATTTTCTATATCCAAACAAACCCAAGTATATACATTTAAAGACCTCAATCCATACATATACTACAAACTTCTTTCAAATTAAAACGGGAAAATTTTATAATCCCTCGTAAGATCTGTATGTATGCCAAATATTGGACAGTTAAAGGAACAGAAGAGAAGTGAGGTACATGTGGCAGAAATGCGAATTTTGTTAAGATGTATGGGTCAATCAATTTGTGATGAAATACGAAACGAATATATTAGAGGAAGTGCCAAGCAGCCGTAGTGGTAGATAAATTAATGAAGTATTGATTTTTCAACGTTTTCTACTTTCAAAATCATTAATAAAGTCTTCAAAAATGACAGCTCTGTATTTAGTTCTCGTACTGTCATAAATGTTGTTTAAATGTTCAAATTTTTTTGTACCTCAAATATAACTTAGAACAAGGATTATACAGTTTTAAGTTATGTTTTAATTATCCATAATATTGTCACATTTTGTAACCACGTATACCAAAAGACAACTTTTTGACTTAAAATTATTTTACAAAAATTAAACAATTAAATAAAAGTTTGAAGGCATAATTACCCTATTTATTAATAGGTAAAGGTAGACACGATCTTTTTATCTTAATGTCGCGAAAAATACCTAATTTACTTTATGCAATAAATAATAATACAAAAGAAAGATTTTAAAATACCGCTACAGTAACTTGCCGGATTTTATAATGTAAGTCTATTAGCGCCATCTATTAGCAAGATATTCAATTAATTTTATCTCTAATTCCGAATATCAGGCAGGTTCCAAGTGTGTTTAAACGAAGATTAAGGCTTTGCTGCACAAGATAAATAGGCAATACATATATACAATATATACACCAGAGTTTAAGAATCTATTTATTCCGTTGTATGTTGTCTCCATCCAAAAATAAGTTATTTTTAAAATAAAAAATATACGTGGCATTTATATGTTTGCTTAGTTATTGTTCAGATTTTATAGCAGTGTAAATCCACGTAATAATCCTAGTTTTCAAATAGACCTAGGTACCTAATTTAGGATCTAATTAGCTAGAATTATTTTTAATTCACTCACGCGGTAGCATAACCTAGTTTATTCTTCCATAGTGTATTGGACTCAAAATGCATTTAATCATCTGCATATTTTATGGTTGCTAATATTTGAATGAACTTCTAGAAATATCTCTATCATACAGAACTTAATGAGGCGATTAAAATGTTACTTTAGACTATTTAAGGTGATTATTTTTTTATAGAAGGAGCAAACGAACAATCGCCTAATATTAGGTATATGATCAGACGCCTGTCGTCATCTATCCGTGTTCTTTCAAATATCTAATTTTAAAAATGGCAAATCTAATTTAACAACCCTTTTCATACTTTATTCTAAATATAAGTGACGCGGACATTAATATTTGTCTCTACAACAAAGTATACTTTTTAATCTAATTGGATCTTCTTATTACCGATAAAAAAAAAAACATGCCATCTTTCTAGTACTTTCTACTCGTATTCGTAGGAATAGCCTATTGATATATTTTAATATTTAAAATTATAAATACTTAAGAGAGATTCTTTTAAATGCATGCGTGGGTGGATCGACGAGCCATCTCAGATATCAAACGCAAAGATTAAGACATTTGACCAACTTTACATAAGCCGTGGGTTAAATAATCGATTTGAAACGACTTCAAATTGTTATAAACGTCGTTGTGTTACTATCCAGATAAATACAACCACGACAAACAAAACTATGAACATTGATCTTCCGTACAAACTTCATGCCGATACATTTTATTGTCTACTAGCTTTCGCCCGCGACACCATCCGCGTGGGAAAAAAACAATAGTGATTAGCCTATGTGTTCTTCCAGACTATCCTCTATATCTGTTCCAAGTTTGAACAAAATCGGTTCAGCCGATTAGGCTACAAACTTTTTTTTTTTTTATAATACAAGGTGGCAAACGAGCAAGCGGCCACCCAAATCCACCGAAATGGAAAGCGACCGCTGCCCATAAACATCCGCAATTGCAGATGCGTTGCCTACCCTTAAAGGAGGAGGAGACGCACATAAAGAGGACATTTCCCCTTCCTCCTCTATCTCCTCCACCGTCAAATCCACTTTTCCTTCCCATCCTTTGCTCTCAAGAAAAAGGTGGAAAGGAGAAGGGACCAAAATTAGGCCTCCGGCACCACACTCATCAGACGAAACGCGGAATTGCTTCCACTTCACTCCTGTTTTCTGTGTGGTCGTGGTATTTCATCGGGCGAGCTGGCCCATTCGTGCGAAGATGTTAAAGCCGGCTCTACCACTGTTAAAACTCTAACAAATATCCATCCATCCATATAACCTTTCGCATTTATAATGTTAATATAAAGGTTAATGAATAAACTGACAAACAATCTTAGGTTTCTGTACAATTACAGTGGAACTTTACGCCTTCAGTCAACGATATTTTACATAAAAGGAAATTAAAAAACAAAAAAGAACAAGCTCAGATTGTGCTGTAATAGTAATAATTCATAATTGTAAACAAAAATAAAAAAAAATGCAACAATAAAATAGACAAGACAGGCCAATCATACAGAATATTTCATATATTACAAAAACGAAAGTTTAGATGGATGGATGTTAGCTATATCTCCAGAACTAATCTTTTGATCGCTGAAGACATCCATGTAAAGCATCTGGAAGAAGACAGGCCACTAATTAAGTCTTTTTTTAATTCCATGCAGACAGATTTGCGGGAAACAGCTACCTTATAACATTAAATCATATTCTCGAATGAAAGCTTCCCCCCACTCGATGTAGAAAGTAGATATCAGGTGGGTACTGGATGGGCAGGCGACAAACTGGATTGTTTTCACTGTGTGGTGGGGAGAGAGAAACTCGATCTGCAAAGGCTGGCCAACAGTCGATCTTATTTTTATCATTATTCTATTATTCATTTGCAATTACAGTGTAACGTAACTTAGTTTTAGTCGTTTGAACCTGTGAGAAATATGTTTTTGTTGAAAAATGTCTAGTTATATTAAAATAACGACTTTAGTTAGTGTAGTAGATTCTAGCTCTAGTGTTTAAATACTCGGACGTCCGGGTCGTTTATACTATTTTAATTACATATTCCCTATATATTTTTAACAAATGACTTTTACGTTTAAGCTGTTTTATTTCCTTTTAATTTTATTGTAGCAGCAACCAATGACATTCATTTAGTATTACTTGAATTTTAAGAGAGTTGTGTGACTTGCCGTAAATTGAAAAGAAAATGTAGAAAAAATAATCTTTTCTGTACTTTTAGATGCACCTACTATGCTTTTAGCCTATAATTCAGTTTTTTACGTCATTGTCGTGATATTATCGCCTGAAAATGTAAATATTCTTTCCGCACTAAGGCAGCTAAAACCACTGAAAATCCTCGTAGAAAATCTAAAAACTGTTTCGTCTATGACTGCCATCTATTGTGTGTTAGATAATCATTAAAGTATTAATATTGCCAACCACCACTAGATGTCACTACAAACTCACACGAACTTCATTGTGGCAGAGTACAAAATTCATAGAGCAACTAAATATCTATGGTCATATGTCAAAACTCGCAGCTAACAGCTACCTTCAGATCATTACATACACAATACAAAATTTTGAAACATGGCTTCTACGAGATTCGCTGTTGTTGAAGTAAACGATTATTTATCAAAAAAACAAGCTGCAGAACCTGAATTAGCAGCAGATTGGGCAAAATTAGAAGAACTTTATACTAAAAAGTAATTATTAACCACATGCGGTACATATATCATTCAATTATCTTATGATTTCTACATGGTGTTTTGCTTTTGTCTTTTTCAGATTATGGCATCAACTAACTTTAAAACTGCAAGAATTGGTAAATTATCCATCTCTAAGGTCGGGAGACCATTTAATACAGCTATACAACAACTTCTTAACTGTATTTGAAAATAAGTAAGTATATTTTGCAAGTCACTGCTATCGCTTCATTCTCCCAAAAGAACTATTTATTTACTCTTTCTATAATAAAAGTTCTATATAATGTCGAATAAGAAACGCATAAATTTGGGTATTCTTTAATAATCATAAAGTAAATTATTTCATTTGCTATATAACCTCACATTCTTGCAATAGTTACGATTTAACGATGTTTGTTTTTTTGGACATTAATTTAGATGAGGAAAATGCTTTGAGTTTCAAACATTTGTTTAAGAAATAAACTGCATTTTTTTATACATTTCAGAATAAATCCATTGTCTTTAGTAGAAATAGTGGCCCATATTGTAGAACAGTATGCTGATAAGAAGGAAGCGATCGCATTCCTGGAGAAGATTGAGGCGAAGGTGAAAATGAATGATGAGGCTTTGGCTCTTTGTAAGGTATGAACTAAAATTCAAAACAACTTGATTACACTAATGCTTGATTACACTGAATTATATAAATACCGCACTTGGCCAGCATGGTTGACTATGGCCTAGTCACCCCATATTAGGGTAGGCTCCGAGCCCCTCGGTGGGGACGTATACTGAGCTGTTGATGATGATATAAATGAGAAAGTTTAGATGGATGGATTTTTCTACTATTTCCAAAACAAGTTAACAGAACAGCAGATCATATTCTGAAAGAACACATACTGCTCTAGTGAGCTCGAGATTTTAAAAGAGGCTTAGTAGCCTCTTTTAAAATTTACAAGTTGACAATGTCAGGTAAATGCTATTAGACCATAATTTTAGATGTAAAATAATACATATCCAATTATTTTTGAGTAACACAAGTGAGTAGACATTTTGTTTCTGTAAAATAATATACCTTCAAGTTGTTTTTTAAATTCCATTGTTATTGTAGGTTCTCCAAGGTCAAATATATCTGGAACAGCTGAATGATTTAGATGCTACGGAGAAAATCATTGAACAATTGGAAGGTACTCTGGAAGATGCAGATGGTGTTACTCCAGTCCATGGCAGATTCTATAAACTAGCTTCGGAATACTACAGGTATATTATATACTACTAATTTTAGTAATAGAGAGCTATAATTTAAACTTTACAATATCATATGCCATTATGCTTTAGGTTGTAATGGGACCAACAAGTTTTAGTTTAGTTTTAACAGTGGTAGTGCCTGCTTTATCATCTTAGCATGAATGGGCCGGCATGCCCAGTGTTATACCACAACCACATAGAAGACAGGCGTGAAATGAAAGCAATGCCATGTTTGGTCTGACGAGTGTGGTGCCAGAGGCCGAATTTAAGTCCCTTTCTCTGTACCACCCTTTTCTTATAAGGAGAGGATGGGAAGGGGAAGTGGATTTGATGGAGGAGGAGATGCATAGGAAGTGGAAATATCCTCTTTATGGGCGTCTCCTTCTGCAACGCATCTGCAATTGCGGATGTCTGGACAGCGGTCGCATCACTGTTTTGGCAGATTCAGGTGGCCGCTTGCTTGTTTGCCACCTTATGTTATAAAAAAAAGTAAATGATTCATAAATAAATAATTCATAACAAAGTGACCGCTACTTAGTTGTCTATTTTTCCAGATGCATTATCCTTTAATGAAAAGAGGGTGTGCACTGAAACTGGATATTTCCTATAAATACCTCCCATGAAAAAAAAAATCCTTGTTATTCGTACCTCATAAGAAAATGATGTAAAGAGCAAGGGATCTGATATTAGTTGGTTGTTTCGTCAAGACTGAACTCTGGATTCTTGAATTTGTTCCTAAGTGGAAAGATTGCATATTATGGCATATCTATAAGAATAAGATTAGCAAGGGAAAATGGGAAACTAATAAAAACTCAATAGAAATAACATAACTTATAGAGTGCGTGGTCCGATGGCCCGTTACTACCGCGCTGCGCTGCGATATGTAGGCTGTGCGCGCGGCGGTGAGGACCTCGCGTTGCCAGAGCGTCGTGCGTGTGCTCTGAGACTGGCCCTCGCCGGTGTGATTGCACCCACTGTCTACGATCTGGGAGAACTGGTAAGTAGTACAATCGCGGAATAACGCGGTGTTGCACTTATGCAAACATGGCCTTACTTCTAGCAATAAGACAAACCAATTAGGTGTTTGTGCATACAATGGGATAATAAAAAAAAGTCATAGTCCAGTTAAATATGAAAGTTGAGTCCTATAGATTATTGCTATCTGTGTCTCTGTACAAAAGATTCACATACATGGACCAGTTTCACCAACTGTACCTTTGAAAGGCTCATTGATACATTAAGAAATGCCACCATAAAAATTTAACACTAACATCTTATCACTGTAGGGCCAGCTCGCCCGGTGTAATAACACGACCACACAGAAGACAGGCGTGAAATGGAAGTAATTCCGTGTTTTGTCTGATGAGTGTGGTGCTGGAGGTCTAATTTAAGTCCCTTTCCCTTTTCATCCTTTTCTTAAGAGGAAAGGATGGGACGGAAAAGTGGATTTGACGGCAGAGGAGACGCAGAGGAAGGGAAAATATCCTCTTTATGTGCATCTCGTCCTCCATCAATGAAGGGTAGGCAACGCATCTGCAATTGCGGATGTTTATAGGCAGCGGTCGCTTTCCATTTCAGTGGATTCAGGTGGCCGCTTGCTCGTTTGCCACCTTGTATTATAAAAAAAAAAGTTTAGATCTGTCATAATTTTTTATTTGTTAACCCTCAATTTTTTCATAATATTATTATCAGCCTGTTAATATGTAAATATAACTTGCCATTTGAATTTGAAAATACATATTTAATAGAAGTATGATGTACAGTTGGCTCATCCAATCCTGGAATCGCTGGAAGGCACACCGGACGCGTGGGCGTGCGAGCTGGTGAAGGCTGTGGCGGCTGGAGATATTGTCGCCTTTGAGAAAATACGGTAAATATCAGAATAGTATTCAAAAATTGTGATAATTCAACTCTTGTCTCGTGAGTACTCTTTTGTACTTTGTTAGTAATACAAAATGTGTTTTTTTTTTCAGTGCTCAAGCCCCACATCCCGAACTACACAAAGCTGATCGTCAGCTGAGACAGAAAATTGCTATCCTGTGTTTGATGGAGGTAGTATTTACCTTATTTGAGTATTTTTAAGTGCCTTCATTGATAAGAAATACCATAAACAAAATGTATGATAGTCAGTTTAAATTCGATTTTTTGCGTAAATCATTGCTTTAAAATGGTAAACCCTTATTCAATCACACAATTAGTATCACAAGTGTATATTGCTTTAGTTTTTACCGAATACTAGTTATGAATATAAATACTTATATTATAAAGAGGAAAAATCAGTATTTTGGTATGTATTGAAATAACTCAAAAACTACTGGATCTGTTTAAAAATTCATCATTAAAAAGCTACGTTATCAATATAGGCTAAGGTTTTGAACTATTTTTTAATTCATGGAATGGAACATCATTTTAAATGGTAATAATTTTTTTTTATTAGATGGCGTTCAACCGCACCTCGGCGCAGCGCAAGTTGACATTCGCAGAGATAGCGCGCGAGGCTCGCGTGCCCCGAGACGAGGTAGAACTCCTTGTTATGAAGGCCCTCGCTGAGAAACTTATACGGGGACACATCGACCAAGTAAATACATCTATACTAATATTATAAACAAGCTTTCACCCGCTAGTCCGTCCGCGTGGAATTAAAAAAATCAAAAGTAATGTATGTGTTCAAAATTTCATCGAAATCCGTTCAACCGTTTAGGCTGTAAACTCTAAGATGTCCATCCATCCATCTAAACCTACGCATTTTTAAAAGTAGTATAAAGTATTATTAGTATGAAAGGAAAGATTTGTATTTTTGTATGTTAAGTATTTTGTATATCTAAACTACTTATTAGTCATCTCCCCTACCTTATCCTACTCTTGTAGGGTCGTCGCATCGGTTTTTCGTCCTCCAAATGACTCCGTCATCTCAGTCATCACTCCTTTCTTGATCATGTCACCTTTCACGCAAACCATCTCTTTGATGTACCCAACGCCCTTATTACATGCGATTCATCCGTCCTCATAACAGTTCCTAATTAGCTATATAAAATTGTGCTTATTAGGTGAGCGAATGTGTAAGTGTGCGGTGGGTTCGTCCGCGTGCGCTGAACCGTGCTGGCGCGGCTGCGTTGGCGCAACGCCTGGACGCGTGGTGCACCGCCGTCGCCAGCGCCGCCACGCTGCTGTCCCGCGCTGCACCAGATCTGCTCACACTCTGATAGTAAAACACTATTTTATCTATACATTTATAATCCAATTGTGCACTTAATAAATGATTAAGCTTTTTCTTCGCTCCAACTTATATGTTGAAGTTCCATAGGGCCTATTACGTATATCCGTGAGAACGTTTTCGTAACATTGACAAAATTTATGTAGCGTATATCACTATTTACGAGACAGTTGCGAGAATGTATTTGTAACGTCATCGATAAGGATTGTATGTGATTTCTTAGCGTTACGAAAAATCTCACAAATATTCCTGATAACCTAATTGGATTTCAAAGAGGTGGTATGATTATACCAAATCCATCTTCACGGTAGATGGATTTGTCTTGATTTTGCATATGGCGTATCATTTTTAAAGTTTTTATTTTATTGTAAAATTGACAATTCATTATCTCCCCTGCCTTATCCTACTCCCGCAGGGTCGGCGCACCGGGTTTTCGTCCTCCAAAGCAATTGTAAAATCGACAATTAACGAATTTTTATTTTTTCAGGGGATTATTTCTGCATTTCAATCTAGTAAGGCGTATCCCGGTACAATCCAATAATAAAGTAAAACAAATGTCATGTTTAATAAATATTCATTAAAATTATTTTTTGTTTCATTATCAACTATTGCAGCATGAAAAGTCTATCTCTTTATAAAATTAAATAAATATTGAAATCAACTTTGTTTCTTTTACCTTCCTTTCGCTTACATTATCATAGTTACGTTTTCATGAGCGGTATATAGGTATCATGGCCCGATTCATACAAGTACTGACGGTACAGAAAAGTAAGAATATGAAACAATTTTAGAAACACGAATTTTATTCCCTAATAATTTCGTATCCGTGATTTTAATCAGACAGCAAAAAAAATACATCTCGTGTGCTCTTTGGTTAGACTCGACCATTGCCTTTACTATGCTCTATATGTGTTACTCTGTGACAACTTGTCTTTGGCATTTGTAATTGCAAATGGCGGCCGCGTGACGGATGTTAGTACGCCGTCAAAATGCATACGCGATGTCTTGAAAAGTTAAAAAGTTTTTAAAGTGGCGTCTCTAAAACAACAAATAATGTGTAATGAGGTAGGTAAAATACCTTAATGTGTTTTCTAAGAAGTATTACGTAACATTTTTTGTTTTTGTTAATCGTCCCGAGGCTATCCGCTGTCTCGCTCGTTTGTTATGATTCCCCTGTCATTATTTACATCGGCGAAGTATATGCATCTCTTTCCGTTCCACAGTTTTCTTCCAATTGGTTTTTCATTTTTGAGTGTCGGCGCGACTGAGACCGAGGGAGGAAAGCTGGGACCCGACGGAAAAATATGAACAATTTGTGCTCTTAAAATTATTGATTTTTCATCGTTAAAAAAACATCAGACGCCGCTAATTGCATACGTGATGTAGTGTCGCGCGGCGGCTCCAATGTGAGTATTGTTATGTCTATTTTAATAGTTTTTCCATGTTAGAGGTTGTGTTCGTGAAAAGTCACATTTTTCAGTTCATGATAATCGACCATTTCGTTCACTTGCGACAATTGCGTTTCGTATAGATTTTTTTATAGTCCAAACTTAGTTTGATGTAATTGTTTAAATATTGATTTTGTTATTTAAAGCTCGAGTATGTGAGTCAGGTCGTCGATGCACGAATGTTTATAACATTAGTTGGGGCCTGCGATATACTATTTTGGGATCAGCCAAATGTTGGCTTTGTGCTCATGTTTTAACCATCATGCTCCCGTGTAGCGTTCATGAGCGTCAGCTCATCATAAAACTAACGGCAAGGAAATTATACATGTTATGCTTCCTGTCGCTGTGTTTATTTTTTACGACAAAGCAAAAGAAAACTTAACTGGTGAGTTTATTACAATAATTGCATTATGTCGTGATTTTGTTTTTCGTGTTACGTCTTTATCGGTCAAACGGCCGTACCTAATGTTTGCGGCTCCGTGGAACGTAAAAATCGTGATAAGATATTACTTTGCGCTCATGGGGCCTTACATTGTGTTTCAAGTTGCGGACTTCATGTGATTGTGTAATGTAATCATTTTCAAAAATGACATCACATTGCGACCTACAAGTGGAGTGGAAGACTCGATTAGTTGATAATGAATTCTATGTAATGTATTCTAGTGTATTTGATTATGTGTGTTTCGGAATACAACGCAATCGTCGGGTCTAGCATAAATAATTTTCTCCGAAGCCATATTCCGAGGTAGGCCGCAAAATGCGGTCGCGGAAAAACTTCCGTACATGAGTCGTGATTTCTACTGATTGCACATTTTATTATATTTTTCGTAATTTATTTTATAAGGCGAAAACCTAAAACTGTGATGTGGAAAGTTTGGATGCTTTTTTTATATTGGAAACAAGCAAGCGGTCACCTGAACTCGCTAATATAGCGAAGCAACCGCTGTCTATAATTCGCATTTGGAAATACGTTGCCTACTTTTAGTGGTCGGAAGATGCAACGCACATATACATACATATTTTGACTTAAAATAAAACAAGAAGTACCTAAATAGCGACAAACCCTGTGTACATTTTCATTCACTTGTATTGCTTGGCCGACTACTTTTCCCCCTTTGAATATTCGGTGTGTGGGGCTTTTTGACTCATATCTATTCGTTTAGCATCGAGAGGTTATCACGAATATTCGTGAGAACATTTTTATAACGTTATCGATATTAGATATGTGTAGGATTATTATCGAGTGTAAACTAACAAACCTCATAAATTTTGTCAGTGTTACGATACGTTCTCTCAATTATCACGAAAATACGTGATAGACCCTCATTATGGTAGATGCGAATAGAAGTACGTCTTGACCTTATCTTTGAGAAATTCTGTCTAAAATTCGAGTTCAATATGAAAACTTATGAAAACTTTTCTATTGTTGAACTACTCTGACACGATAGTACGTTTATCTGAATGGGCCCTTTAAGGGCACGTTCACATCCGTTCTGTTTTTAACTTCATCTCTTGCGGTACCTATTGTTATGATAATACGCACTACACTAACAAATCGCCTTTATTGTCTGCTTGTGACGTACACAATACTTATACTTGCAATGGATACGGACAATAACTGTTAATACATTTTATGTTAATGTATGCTAATTATGGGTTTCCATTGACGAAACATGTTACATGTTACTACATCCTACTCATTCTTTTTAATATAAAAAAACATCAAATCCGCACTGGCCAGCGGACTGATCAAATCTTTTTTCTCAGTCGTTACAGTCTTTCCAACTGATCGTATTCCGAGTAGATGTCCCGTTTAAACCTTAAATATCCCTAATATAACCTAGACGTCTTATTGGAGGAAACGTATGTACAGTTCTGTAATCTGGCGGTGTCCAACTTAAAAGCTACAAACGTTTAAACATTTTGAACCTAGACGCGGAACAAAAACCAATACAACGTAGCTTATAAAACGTGTCTACGAATAAAAAGTCGGATAGTGATACTTTGCACTCATTGCTATCTAGTTATAGGAAGAGGCGGAGTTTGTCTCGATGTAAGAAACAAAGCATTTTTGTAAGTGGACCATCGCGGATTTCCCCGACTGTACCCACAATAATTTATCTACTCCTGCAACAAGCTTGTTTATAATCTTTGATCACAATATATAAGTATTACGTGTGTAATTTACGCACAATGATATCATTTCTCTTAGCACGTTGGTTATTGTTTAACAATTGTTAGTTACCGTAGCGCCGTCGGAAATGACGACTTGTATTGCGTCATTACACGCGTGAAAGACCAATGTTATCCTTTAAGATGAGGTTTCATTGAAGCGAGACCATAAGAATATAGGATACTAGCTTTCGCCTGCGACTCCGTCCGCGTAGATTAAAAAAAAACAAAAGTGAGTAGCCATGTGTTCTTGAATACTATCCTCTACATCAAATTTCATAGCGACCCGTTCAGCCGTTTAAGCTACAAACTCTAACATCCATCCATCTAAACTTTCGTATTTATAATATCAGTATGATAGGATGATTCATTATGTCGACTTATGGCAGAAGTCTACATCCATATTGTTTTATGTATCTTATGTGTTTTAATTCGTGTTAATATTTTATCATGTATTGATATGCAATTATCTATGCTATATACTATACAGTCGGAAAGTTCTAAATCCGAAAAGTTGGATTTTTTAGTTTATTTTGATTAAAACCTTTACAAGTAGACACACCTGTTCTTAACTTGTCCTATTTTCGATATAGCAATGTGATAAGATTTAGTGTTTCATAGGTCACTGACATTCACAGATTACTTGCTTTAAACAAAACTACTAGGTATAACATACTAGCTGTTGCTTTCAACGTCTCCAAAAATTAAAAAAAAAAGTTATAGTCTATGTTACTCACAGATAAATTACCTTTCTAATGGTGAAAGAATTTTTGAAATTGTAGATTTTGATTTATTTCAATACATGCAAAAATACAAATCTGTCTTCTTTATAATATCAGTATAGAAAATGGTTAATTTTCATTAAAACGATATATGTTTGGTATTTTGTTATATAGGTTGTCACTATTATTTGATTTTATCAGGTAAAATTGACCATATCAATAATGTAAAGATACCTGTTTTTATCTTTGATCGATTGTCACTGTTGGGATAAATGAAACTATGACCGCGCCCATTTCAACATTATTGCGAAGAAAATGTTACTTTTATAAAAAAACAGATTTTACTGAAACTCCACTATGTATGTATGAGTAACTACCAAAGTATAAAATATCTACACGAAAGGTCTGGCTTTATAAACAAATAACGATAACCAAAGTATTACGGCAGAAAGAGCCTCTTCATCCCTTAGTGACCATTTAAATACTCTGGGTATGGTGGTAAGGAATCTTTACCGTATTACGTATTAACCTGACTAGGTCAGTTCTTCAGTCACGCCTATCTCAAATTAATACAATTACTAGGACATGCTTGACCAATCAATATTTTTTATTGACCATTTGATCTTGACTTTACCTAATGTTTCTGCAATCGAGGCCTATTGCCGAGGTCAGTGACAAAAAATACGGAAAAAATAATTGAATGTTCAGTCGAAATTTGTTGCCTACAAAATTGTTAGGATTTTGACTGGATCTTTTGTTACCAGATGAACCGTGAATATGATATTTTATCTGTAAAGATAAAAATGTGTTTATTATTTACATTTTCACACAGTCCAGACAAGGCTTATAAATTGAGTGCATTTTTGTCAATCTATAGTGCAGTTCCAGTCATTGGAAAATTCAGTTAAAGAATTTAGTTACGATATGGTTCAATCAAATACTTCTTACTCTTAAAATTTAGTCAGTGTATTTCGCGTACATTCATTGCCCTCAAATATTTCCAAGAAACGTACATAAGCACCAATCGCTCGGGCCAAATATAACCGCGAGGAGTGGGCCGTGGGCCGGGACCCCCGCGCGGGCTATTTCGGGCGCGCCCCTAGGGTCGACGCACTCCGGACCCCACCGTCGGGACTCTTTTTTACTTATCTGTGGACAGATACGGGGGCGCCCTACACCGCTCCGGACTAAATAGGGGATTGTGAAGCACTTGTTGTTTTTCTGTCTGCCCCGCCGATGCGCAGACTTGATGGTCGCGTAGTATGTTTTTGAATCATTTATTGATTCTTCGGTTTAGAATTTTAATTCTTGGGAGACTAAAGTGTTAATTGTTAATTTTTACCCTCAAATTATAATGACTACGGTGAAACAAGTTCATCGCCTTAATCGAACTCATCCAATTTAATTCATTTAAATAAGAGTTCGTTGCCCGAACACAGTTTGTATTTCTGAATATTTCGTCAATTTTGATGTATGATACTTTTTTTACGGAAGTACTTTTAGTGTTGGCACTTGAGTTGACACTTCCGGTAGAAGAAAACTTTTGTTGCCGACGTGCCAAATGAAATGCTACGATTGATACCAACAGCTAAATCATATCATAAGAGCTATAATCTAGCATATATACGTCAAAGGACATGCGAAATGGGTAGGAAATTAACGTCCTTGACTGTTCATATTTCCTTTTAAATGCACCCCTTTTACTGTTTGAAAGCGGGGTTTAAAGTGCTTTTCTAAAAGGTACGCATACATTTTTCTGTTTTATGTGTTTGTAGAGAATAGAGTGTAATAATTAGGCACTTACATGAATGCCCCGGTATCATGTTGGCGGTCAAGGTCCTGACTGGGGTAACTGAAAAACCAACGAAGGTTAGTGACATGGACTGTAATATCTTTAATTCTAAATCTTCGAATTACAGATGCAGTTAAAAATTGTGAAAATAATTTTCAAAGTATAATTTCGTGGATATCTAAGGTTATTTATTTTTAGAACTTAGCGGCGATAGCTCAGTGGCGACGCGTCGGGCTTACTATATGAAGGTCGGTGACTCGAAGCCTGACGTTTCTAACGACTAAATTACAAATCACCAAAAATAAAATCTTATGAAACTGTTTGAAAATATATTTTACTAGCTGTTGCTCGCGATTTCGTCTGCGTGAAATATACCCCTATGTTACTCACAGGTAAATTACCCATCTAATGGAGAAAGAATTTTTAAAATCGGTCCAGTAGTTTTACGTGAATCTAATACATGCACAAAAACACATTTTTTCTCTTATTTTTATCTATAGTAATATTATAATATTACTATAGATAAAACTTAAGAGATGTATTTATGCGGTTACATTATCCGCATTGTTTGAAAAAAAAAACTAATAAAAGACGACACAATGTTCTCAGTCAAAGACAAACAAGAAAATGAAGACACGTGTGAAATAATAACAAAAGTATATGGGAAAGACATCGAAAAGAAACCTTATCGATCTAATAACGACATTTATGACCGGTTTCCCAGTTGCATTTAACCAATCGTTAGTGTTTTTGGTTCGATAAATTCATGAAATGAGTAACTTGATCTTTACTATGTTGAAACTTAGGTTAGCCTTAAACTAAATGATCGCTAAGTAATAACAAAATAAGTGGTAACTTCAGAAACCCAGCATCAAATTTGTAACAGCCTCTAAAAATATTAGATGACGCTTAAACTCCAAATTCCATTAGAATTATAATGTGTGAGGAATTATAAGTTTTGCTTACGAAGTATAAATTGTTTCGTTAATCATAATTAGGGCCTGTCCCACCACTGGCTGATAGAGGCCTAGATAGCTTAAAAATTACGTCACGTAATAAAATCCAATATTTCCATCACATATTTTACACGTTGGATTGTTATCAAACAGTTTACAATTTGGTGGGACAGGCCCTTAATAATGCAAACTATACGAAGTATATGAAAAACGAATGAATCAAACGTAGTCACCGTGGTTAGGGTCTTCCGGGCCCCTATCGCATCGTTATTGATTTTTATGTTCATATTGTTTGCTACTGTCGCCAAAGTTACTGTATTGTCGTCTCCCTTCAACACGTGATATACTCGTATGTTGTCCCTTTCTAATGAAGCCTCCAATCTCCCTAACTAAAGTTTACTTTAACTAAACATTAACTAATGTATTCCAAAAAATGTAATATACTGTCTAGTGTTTAGTTAAACTCGTATTTTAACTTAGACCGTCGCTTACTTGGTACTAGCTGTTGCTCGCGACTTCGCCCGTGTGAAATTAAGAAATAATACAAATGTAGCCTATGTTATTCGTTCTAACGTAGGTTTTTAATGATGCAAGATTTTAGAAATCGGTCCTGTAGTTATTTAAATACATGTTAAAATCGAAAAATATAAATCTTCGTATAAATAAGTACTCTAGAATGTTTTTTTATTTAGATTGTATTTTTTAAGCTTACGCTCGTGTTTCTACTAATTTTTTTGAATAAATCTACGCAGGTCGCTAAAGTTACGGTATAAAAGGATTGATCTGTTTAAAGTTAAATTAAAATGTATTTGAAAAACTGTTTATATTAAAGACGTTTTAAAAATTTTATTGTCAAGCAACTATGCATGTTTTTTCATTTTTTCGGTATTAAGTCAGGGTATGCCCCTAATCTATACTTCTATCTATATCTATAGTATTATAATAAAGCGTAAACACACACTTCTTTATTGCCTACGATGTCAGCAATTACAGAATATTTTTGAATAATTCTATCTTCAATAAAAAGCCCTATACTTACGCCACGCTTTAGGCTATATGTTTTCTCGTCATTAAACTTTGGGGGTAAATATTTTGGATAAAAACCCTAATGTGGGAAAGAGACCATAAGTTGTTGCCATCAAGGAAGCAAGATTGCCATGGTTTGACGTCATTTTGACATTGGCAATTGTGAAGAATAAAATGATTTTTTTATAATTTTCTGCGGATGAAGTCGCACGGGAACAGCTAGTATATTTTTCTTATATCTTTTTTTTTGTTTCAGGTATTAAAATTATACAAGTGCGAGTTCCAGTATTTTACATATAATTATACAGTCTAGTCTAAAAGTTTCTTATAAAATATAAAACAAGTATTGCTTGTACTTAATGTTTTCTACTTAATAAAACTGTGATAAAGAATTTGTGCCGGACAATGTGGTTTTGTTCATGAACTAGTGCAATTTTTTTATAACAATATCATTGCAATTTATAATAAGGACTGAAATATAATCGGCCAAAGATATCTTAAGTATTATGTTTTTATACAATTAAATATAAAGTGTGGTTGGGTGCTGGCAAGATGGCGTTGCCACCGCAACAGTTCTGTGTGAGATGGAACTCATACCATACCAATTTGCAGGTGAGTTTACTTTAAGAGAGCGAACACCTTTGACTAAACTATCGCATGACTAGTAGCGCTTTGATTCCTATGAACTTATATGGAAGGACGCACACTACTCCTAAACAGTTTAATTGACTGCGAAGCAATCGACAATCGCACAACTGTTGTGCGATTTTAGTCAAAGGTGTATGCAGTCCCTTACTGTTACTAACTAGTAGAACTTTGTATGAATGTGTTTGTATGAATACTACAATGAGATTTAACTAGTCATGTCAGTAAAGTATGAAAGTCATACAACTTGTATGGCTTTACAAATAACTGTACTACGTACCACTGTTAAACAAATTTAATATGAACAAAATATTTTCTGAAGACAATCACTGACCTCTATAAATGGACAGGCTAGACGTGGTATTTTGTGCCTATTTATTTTTCGCCACTTTAATGCTGACGTTTGCGGTTAGGGCCGTTGGTAAAGATTCGAACTAATAGTAGAGATAGCTAGCTGTCGAAACGAAGCAAAAGCTCGTTTTCAAACAATTTACTAGCTATTTATACAGATCAGTGTGAGACAGTCCCCGACATCGTATATCGAATATGTTTTTTTTTCGCAACTCCCGTAAATTGGTCATCTCAATAAGAATTATCTAATGAATTGATAACTAACCTGAGAAGAATGAATAATAGTAATATATGACGTCACAAATCACCTACACGTGTTTTATAGTCGGTGTTCCCCCGGCTATTACTGACGGAACAGTTCGCTGACGTGACGCTGGCTTGTGAATCGCGGCAACTGCGCTGCCACAAGCTAGTGCTGTCGGCATGCAGCGCGTACCTCGAGCGCCTGCTGCTGCAGAACCCCTGCAAGCATCCCATCGTCCTCATGCGGGATATGAGGTGAGATATCTACTTATACTGGGTAATGATGACCAAGTTTCTAGCAAGATAGAGTGACATCGCTTAGTGAAAACTGAGCCTAAAATTATTTCATATGAATTTTGGAATTCACTTACATGTCTATCAGTTTAGTTTAATAGTGGACTTTTTAGTTTATTTTCATTACAACGCCTAAATCGACCTGAACCAATATAGTAGAGGATGTTGTTAAAGCAACCTAACATCCCATCTACTTTTAAAATTGTTTGTACTAGTTGATTTTCGAGGTCTAGTTTATTGTTAATAGATTTGCCCCCAGCTGTACGTACAATTTGGTTAGATAAAGAGAGAATGATTATTGTTATCTCTGTCTAATAAAGATAAAATTACGTTTGCAAATCTATATCCATACTAATATAAAGAGGAAAGATTTGTATTTTTGTATCTATTGGAATAACTCAAAAACTACTCGGCCGATTTCAAAAAATCTTTAACAATTAAAAAGCTACATTATTAGTGAGTAACATACGCTACGCTTTTTATTATTTTTTTTTAATTCTACGCGGGTTAAGTCGCGAGCAATCAAATATAAAATCTTGATTGTTGTTTTAATGTTATAAGCGAATTCACCCTGCGACGTTGTGACGTCATAGGTCAAGAAAAAAACAATTATGTTTAGGTTCAGTGAGATGCAAGCCCTGGTCGACTTCATGTACAAGGGCGAGGTGAATGTGACGCAGGAGGAACTGCCCAGCCTTCTCAAATCTGCTGAGGCGCTGCAGATCAGAGGTCAGTTGAAACAATACTTAGGTCTATGGTAATAAAGCTCTAACCATCTAGACCTGGAAGAAGAAATTGCACCAACTCAAGAAATTATACTATACTTGCTTATTTTTTTTAAATACATCCAATTTATGCGAAAGTTTAGATGGATGGATTGATGTTTGTTAGAGTTTGTAGCCTAAACGGCTGAATGAATTTCGATGAAATTTGGTATAGACGTAGAGGATAGTCCAGAAGAACACATAGGCTACTCACTTTTTTTTTAATTCCACGCAAACAGAGTCGCACGAAAGCTAGTAGTTACATACTAGTTTGCTCAGTATAGATTTCTTACACAAAATGTTAATTGGTCATTAAGTGACTCTCTTAATGAGCAATTAACATTGCGTGTAAAAACTTGATTGCAGGACTGTGCTCGAGTGACACGAGCGGGCTGACTTCGGAGACGAGCTCCGGTACAGAGAGCAAAGACTTCACGGTGGCGAGCGAGGCGCTGCTCGCCACGCACAGAGATACTACCACTAATGGTGAGACGATTATATGTTAAAGCCCTACCCCCTCCCGGGCCCCCTCTGTCCGTCCCGGGGGGAGGACTTCTGCAAAACGGCGGCTAGCGACCATATCACTGTATCCTCATAACTGCTGCAACGGCTTGATAAATAGTTTTGCTTCCTTGATGTTGGCAGCAACTTATGGTCTCTTTCCCACATTAGGGGTTTAATCCAAAATATTTACCCACTAAGTATAATGGCGTGAAAATATATAGCCTAAAGCGTGACGTAAGTGTAAGGCTTTTTATTAATAAAAGTATTATTCAAAAATATGTTGTAATTGATGACATAGGCCACATAGAAGTGTGTGTTTACGCTTTATTATAATAGTATAGAAGTATAGATGATATGAATTTTAAATAAAGAATTAAAAACTGGAAAAAGAAAGAAATGACACTGATAATCATTTAAGAGGTACGAAAGGCTACAGAGCCGCCCAATAACAAAAAAAAATGCTGCAACGGCAATATATAGTACTTGATGAAATTTGAAAGAAAAATCGGGAATAATACCCACTAGTTCTGGAAGAACTAATTTACTATGAAACACGGTTAAGGCATTTTTTGCGATGTGTGATATTTTTTATCTCTATAATTATATTCCAAAACAGTCAGTATTAACTAAAATTAAAAAGTAGAAAATACAATAAAAATCAACTTATAAATAACTATTACAAGAAAGAGAAGATGAGAATTAGAAGCTATAATGCAGATATATAACCTTTTTTTTTAATAACTTAAGGTGGCAAACGAGCAAGCGGCCACCTGAATCCACCGAAATGGAAAGCGACCGCTGCTCATAGACATCCGCAATTGCAGATGCGTTGCCTACCCTTAATTGACGGAGAAGTCGCACATAAAGAGGACATTTGCCCTTATGCGTCTCCACCGTCAAATCCACTTTTCCTTCCCATCCTTTCCTCTTAAGAAATGGGTGGAAAGGAAAAGGGACTAAAATAAAGCTACTTTGATCTTGTTATTTTATAAAATGTCGTATCCTCAGGTCCGACAAACCAACAGCAGAAGGCGGCCAACGTGAGCGCGACAACGAACGGCACTAAGAAACGGAAGTCTGAAGACAGGGAGAGGAACCCCGAGGTGAAGGAGGAGACGGTGGAAGAGGATGGACTTTATTACGGAGAACTGGATAATGAGAATATGGAATATAACGAGGTGAGATTTCAATATTAAAAAAGTAAAAAAAAATGAAAGAAAAATATTTTACAGTTTAATAGACTTTGTGTCAAAGTAAAAAAAAAAACGTCTAATTCAGTCCTGCAATGTAAAAACATATTTATAGGAATGTAAATTATGCCATTTATATGAACAATGTATTAATTCATGGAAAAAATTTACGTAGTCTCTGTTTTTTTTTTTAAATCATAAAATTGTATTTTTCAGGAAGAGGAATCTGGAAAACCAGGCAGCAGTTTAGGACAAACCTCAGGTAAGATTTTTTCTAGAGTTTAAATTTTTTTTTTTTCGATATATTCTCAATGTTTGTTTGCAATGTGACTTCTGTTTTGTCACTTGCTTTTGTTAGTTTTTTTTTTGTTTATAAACAATTTTATAACCTTACGGGAGGGTAATTTTTTAATTCGTTTTCGTGTTGGAATCGAGAAAAAAAAATCGTTTTTTGTGCGTGTGTAATCCAAGTATAAAGCGAAGATCATATTGTGAATGGACATTGTAAAAATATGAACAATGAATGTCTGTAAGGTAGGCCATTTTTAAATATTACCAAATTGGTAGTTTTTATTAGTAGAAATTGAACCATGAATGTTTTTATTACTGCAAAATGGTTTGGTCGTTACGATTTTTTATTTTATTTTCTATCTTACAGACATATCATTTGTCATTTTTAAAGGACATTCATGGTTCACTGTTTTTGACCATTTTTTTCATATTTTTACCTCATTTCAGGATCATATATACGAGTGAAACCGGAAAGCGAATTATTATTTCAAACGAAATTGCAAAATCTATCAAAAACCAATTACGAGTATATTAGAAAGCTTTCCAAAATGAATACATTAGAAATACAAAACGAATTCTCGAAATATGGCCTTGAAACAAATAATACGGCATCAGAAGACGCGTATGTACAAAAAAACGCTGAAAACGATTACTACAAATCGTGGTTAGAACAAAACGGCGAGCTCGAAGTATCCCTACTAAAAGCTAATCAGACAAAAAAATCCAAAACCGATATAAAAAATCAGAAATCCGAAGTAGAACTTATACCAAAACCGAAAACCGTTAGTAAAGATTACCCTAAATCTGTGGAGAAACCTCAGATACGTAGACGAGGTCGGCCACCGATTTTCAAAGATAAAAACATGGATATCGGTGATACTGTATTGAAGTCCGATTTAGATCAATTTCTAGAAGGTAAAGAAGTTAGCTCATCTGGACTGTCCCGTAAGGATTTAGAAAGAGTGATGATGGGAAAATTCAACCCTAACAGAAGGTACTCTAACGAAGCTATGTGGGCGGCTCTCATGGATGTTAAGAAAGGAGGAAGCATTTATAGGTAGGTTTTGTTCTCATTTACACAAAAAAATATTCTCAAATCTTTAGTCACTTAAGGTTAGTTGGTATTTTTTTAGTCTCGTACTGAGTATTAAGTACCTCAATATTTCAGTCTATATGATTTGCTAATCTCTTAATATTTTTTGCTTTATTGTTACTTAACTATTACTATTCAATTAGATTACTAGTCTTATGCTTACTAGCGTCAATGTGTATTTCGAATCCATTACGAAAATTAGGCAGAACAGTATTTTTTATAACATGTGGCAAACGAGCAAGCGGCTATCTGAATCCACCGAAATGGAAAGTGACCGCTGCCCATAAACATCTGCAATTGCAGATGCGTTGCCTACCCTTCATTGACGGAGGAGACGCACATAAAGAGGACATTTCCCCTTCCTATGCTTCTCCTCCACCGTCAAATCCGCTTTTCCTTCCCATCCTTTCCTCTTAAGAAAAGGGAAAGGGACTAAAATTAGGCCACAGGCCTACAAAATACTCTAAACTCGACTATATTACTTGCCGTAATTCCTAATTCGCAATAGGCTAGTAAATTAGTTGTTTTAGTGCCTAAAATACTCTATACTCAACTAACTACTGCCTAATTTTCGTTATTTATTGATATACTAAATTATTCGCGTAATGCGAACCCCTTAGGGGCCAATCTCGCTAAGGGATTGTTTAAGTAGAAGTTATATGTACTAATTGTTTAATTTCAGAGCTGCACAAACACACAAAGTGCCTCGCAAATCTCTACGTAACTGGATGAAGCGATGCCATATTAAATCTTCATTCCCGATGCCGCAGCAATTGAAGCAATTCGTTGAGAACAGCAAAAAACAACGAGAATACAAAACATTCGATGGATATCCGAACGCGGATCAAAATTATGGAGAAAAAAGTGGTACAGAAGATGTACATTTTGATAACGAATTGGATTTCGGGAAACATTTTCTTACCTTCACCGGTACCGTTTCTAGTGAAGATGAAGCTAAAAACGAAGAAAAACCTACCGAAACGGTAGAAAACAGTGAAGATGGCACAGCACTTAATATGTCACTCCATGAGTGATTTGGTAGCTTTTGAATACTTAAATCTTGAACTGCCCCAGTTTAAAGAAATATTGATTGCCAAAGAATAAGCAAAGATTTATAGAAGGAATTGGGTATTAAACTGCATTCAGTTTCTTAAGTCCGTTTCAACTAAATTGAACTGTTCAATTAAAATTGCTTGTGTAGGCAAAACTTTAAACTGAACGATTCAACTGACAGTTAAAATTTTGTCTAAATATATTTTAAGGCGATTCCTTCAGTTCAGTTAAAACTGACAACTGACCGTTTTTAGCGGGAAGGTGGTAACTTAATTACTCCTATAGTGATTTTACCTTGAAATAACACTAAGGGACTTCCTTAGTGGCCACTGAATTCTGAATACAGTATTTTTTACATATTGAGTAATTCACGCGAAAATTGGTAAAGTTTTGTAAAAGTGTGTAAGAAAAGTTTTATTTAGTACTTGCACATTTGTATACTTAAGTATATTATTTTAACTCAATGTGTGAAATAAGACAAACTCTACCGTCTTACTATTCAATCTAATTTTAGTAAAAAAAACTAAAGATAGATTTTTTAATCCCAAAAATACTATATTAATAAAAAAAAATCTTTATTTATAGTAGATTTCCTATTTTATACCTTGCAATATTACATCCAAAGATTCTTTGTTTTTTTATGTTTAAAGAAATACACCTCGAATGTATAATATTGTTTTTAAAAAGCTGTTTTTAGTAAATATTGGTAATACCAGTGCAATATTTTATTACCGATTTGGTAGCTTTTATGTTTCATTCGAGGCGATGTGTTATTTTATTTATTTTTACCTACCGTTTTTGTTAAATGATTATAGAATATTAGATGAAATGAAATGGGGATTATATTGGCCTTTTATGTCTTAACGTACGTTTCCACTGACGAAATTTGTATAAAAACTTGTTAAAGACAGAAAGTTATTTGACATATTGGGCATAGTCTAACTAAATTATAATACGAGCGCCCTCTATTGTCAAAAAAGTGTCATAAAATCTTTTTTATTGAAGCTGTAATTTTTTTTCTTTTATGTCATTTTCCACAAGTAGTTTTTAAAACTAACAGCGACATCGGGCCAGATAAGCTAGTTGCACTATATCTCTGTTTTCTAAATCAAGGGTAACAAGTTTTTGTAAATTCTTCTGCAGTGTAAACGCACGGTTATATAAGGACAACGTCCAAAGATAAAGAAAAGACTTGAAAATGAAATTTTAGCGGTAAATATTAATTATGACAGTCTGGATGAAATAAAAAAAAAACATCGATTTTTATAGATAATGGACTGTCAACTTTTCGATACTTATAATTGCTTAAATATAGTGATAATTTATTTAATGTTTTTTAAGGTTTCTGTACTTAATTAGCTGATTGAACCCCCAGCCGTAGAACCATCGAAAGTTATTTTAGTAGTATATTTAAGTTTGCTTTAATTAGGCCGAAATGAGCGATCGATAGGAACCTTTTTGATTATAATAACGCCTAGTAAATACTAGGGTAAATTTTTACCTTTATTTTAGAAACATGTGTAAAATACATATTTCACGCTTATAAAAAAATCTTACTTTTTAACTAATACAAATAAAAAATATAGACTTGATAACCTCCATTTTTGAAGTCAGTTAAAAATATTGTTATCCAGTAATGTAATTCTCACTTTAATTTGAGTTTTGGTTCTTTTTTTAAAATACCTGTCGATCGCTGCATTACCTAGGCTTTTAACTACGTGTGTTGTTCCTAAGGTTATTTAAAAGCGATGCCTTCGAGGCATTACATTGTCTTTCTCTTCAAGGGCGTGCATTTGACCTGATTATTGTGGTTTTACGCGTGTATGTCACGTAGTCGTCGCGTGTACGTTGCGTAGTCGTCGCGTGTGGTTTGTTTGAACTTTTGTCGTGTATTGTAAATGGGACCTTTGTGCAATCGGAGACTGAAAGAAAATTTAAGATGGTTGAAATTTGTTGCCAATTGATAATATTTATATTGTATTTATAATAGTTATTTTATATCTATAATGTTACCAGGCAGTGTATTTTTATACAGAATGCCTGATAAAAAAAATAAGAGTTAGAGAAAGTTTTGAGTCGAAAATGTAATCGACTTCGTAGGTTATGATGAAATTAAAGGTAATGTTTTTCATTTTTTTATGACTAAGGGCCTGTCCCACTAAATTGTAAATTGATGTAACAATCGAACGTGTAAAATATGTCATGGAAATATTGGATTTTGTTCCTTTATCTGACAGTGACGTCATTTTTAATCTATCTCTATCAGCCAGTAGTGGGATAGGCTCTAAAAATAATGTAATTTAAAAAAAAATATTGAAAGAATTCGAAAACTAAATTATGATATAATCAAAATTTATAAAGGAGATAGAGACTAAAGTATGGCCTTAGAGAAAAGTGTTGCCTTACCAAGAATTTTGGATAGAGTTTGGGAAATTCCAGTTTTGATTAATTCATATTGCTATCTCAGCTTTGTTGAAGGAATAGAGGGATAGCAATATGTTTATAAGTGTTAACAATGGAAAATTACAATTTCACCACAATAGTCAGGTCTATGTCAAAATCGCTCGCAATCCAAGAAGTGCCTACTTAGTATATAAAGTTATACATAGATGTAAGTTGCTACATAGATATATACATATATATTACTATAGCAGTGTTGTATGCAGTATTATGTTAGTTTACATTGCCTTACATTATTAGTTATTTCCACATCATAAGGACAATTTGATGAAATCATCTGGTCTAAAAATACACCCCAAGTCAGTATAAGCACATTTTATATTATTATATACTATTATGCATTAATTTATTATTTATTATAAGTAATTTGACTGTTTTAATAATGTTGAAGTTTTCACCAAGACGATTGATACAAGTGAGAGTGCTCTAATCCAAGTATTAGTGCCTATTTTCTCTAGCGGTTAGCACTTTTCTGTAATAACCCTAGTAGCGCCAGTGGAAATATGATAAATAAAAGCGAAAACGCAATTGTCTCATGGACTGCCTAGTGGAGATTTCCTCTAATTTGTATCTGTGACGATTCTAAATATCACGTTTTTGTTTTAAAAAAATTAAGTCATTTAATGTTGTATGAAATTGTATTGAATTCTTTCACAATGTTTTCGTTAATTCACGTAATTTATAAAATATGCATACAGTTGACGTCCGCCCGTTTATGATTATTAGAGTTATGTCGATTTTAATGATTGTACCGGTTTTTGCTATGTTACGGGAGTTAATAAACTATGATATAAATATTTTACTTCTTATTATTGGAACATAACCTTTATCCTAAAAAACTTTTTGAATTTATCCCATACCATATTTTTGTACACTTTTATAGCCTCGTTTTGTAACAAATTGAATGTGATGGGAATATGTTCTGGTTTTAACTATTAAGCAATCTTTGGAAGTGCCCTGCCCCCTTCTCTTATAAAAAAGCCCACTATCGGTTATCAAGTGATACGTTTTTTTAAATAGCACCCATTATACAACTCGTATAATAAACAAAATGTAAGCCTTACATTTTAAAGTGAATTTTAGTTTAACATCCACTAAAATCAAGTGCGGCTTTTCCTCGCTTTTTACATGAATCCGCTAACCTCGATTCATCCATTTCCCGCCTGTAGGAAGCCAGGAAAAGAAACGCCCTGTCACATTGACAGCTCGAGTGTTGCCATCATTAAAATGAAAAAGTTACTATTAAAAATAAAAAAGCTAAAGGGCCGTTTCTTCTCCTCGCTTGTTGCAGGTTTGCGGACATCGACGGAAATAGTGACGAGACATTTTATCGATATGGACCACGGCATACCTCTGAACATACACGCGCGGCCACGCATCGTGGGACGGCGGCCCAACGCTATCGTTAACATAGAAACTGACGTATTCCAAGAGAAATCCTACAAACAGTACTCATCCCAACATCTCCGAGACGCGTTAATAGCGGTCAAGAAAGGTTACAGCGTATATGCAGCTTCAAACAAATATGGCGTGCCGAGGAAAACTCTAAGGAATTGGATGGAGAAATACGATATTAAGAGTCAATTTTCTAAAGGACGACGTGGAACCAGAACTCAAATACTCGACCCGTTGGATCTTATGAGAGAAACCAAATCGGAGAGGTTCGAAGGAACTTTGTAAACTAACGTGCATAAAAAGGAACGCAAACGTTTTTACCTATTAGTTGCCACAAGGTTCTATGTCAAAGATTATGGATTATGGTATATTTTTTAATAATTAAATGCATTTTATTAAGGGATTTAGATAAATGTCGTGTTTGTAACCTACATTTGATCATAATAAGGTGAGTAATTGATTTTGATATTTATGTATATGTACTTAATATTTAAAATACCTAAATAAGTGTAATTTATATAAGAATATTTATACTTAAAATTGCCAAAATGTAAGTATACTAAATTGTGATTTTTCACAATGTTAACACTTTTTTAAAATCTAGTAACATTTTGCTATAAACAGAAATATAGGCGGTTATTTTTTAAAGTAGATTTTTTGTTATGAAAAAGTATACGGGAACTGAATACCAAGATTTATCTAGTTTTAAAGGCATTTTTTAGGATTTGTTTTTTTGTTTTCCTCAAAATTTTTACACTAAATGTATATTTAAATATTAGTTTATTTTGTAGTCTTTTTGCTCAAAACCTTCGCATAATTCTTAACTTTAGAATAATGTTGCCAGAAGTCATCTTTCCTAGGATCTTATAAATATGCAGCTTTTTTATTTCCTTCCTTGATAATGTAAAATAAAAACAGTAATATTAATTAGGATAAGTCCCATAATACATTGAAATATGGTTTTAAAATAGTTTAATGTTATTTTTATTTTTAGTTCCTAAAAAACCAAAGTAGCGTTCAATCCAAAGGGTATATATTTTTTTATATTTTGTTAATTATTTAATAATTTATGGCAGTAACTTATTTAAGTTTTGATGTTAAATTGAGTGCAATAAAGATCAAGGCAATTTTTAAATAATGTATTTAAATAATTTTTAAGTTATTTTTTGTCCACGTGTGTGAAACGAAGCGGCCTTTTCACTGCCGGAAAACCTCGACGTAAATGAAATACTAAGTTGCCTAGAATTCCTATAGACATACATAGATAACTCAAAAGCAATTTTTCATAATAGAAAGGAAGAAAGAGGGCCCTTGATCATCGATTGTCGACGCCCTTTCCGTGTCTGGGTAACAGCAGTGGAAACGCACGTTAAAAAGATATGTAAAGAGTACTTATCGATAAATTACCTAATCTTAAAGTGTTTAACTATAAGGAAAATTTGTAATAATATTCATAAATTAAAATTATTTCAATGTCCGTTGTATTTTAGAGGTAAAGTATAAACATGGAATTTTTTTAACAAGAGTATTTTTATTTACGTAAAATGTTTGCCAGAAATATTTAAGAAACAAACAAGCATTTATTTTGTTTACCGTAAAAACAGATGTATACAGGTATTTATCTTTGGTGTTGCTAGGCATCGAACTATAGATTTGCCATTTTAAATTATTTAAGATATAAAAATCTGGTGGATTTTTTTAATGTTTACTTTTATTGAAGCTGGTCACACTGTAAGATAAGGGCAAAGTTATTGTCTAGTATTTATAAATGTAAGTTACGGGTGATTGTATTTGATGGTAATAAAATGTTTTTTTCGTGAATTATGCTTTTTTAATGTTTATTAACTACAATAATATATGACAACTAATTTGGTGAAAGAGAAGAAATAGAAACTACCATTTTGATTGGACAAAAATAACCTTAAAATCGACTCCTCGGCTCTCAACCGCCAAAAGCCTCTCCTACTCCCATAGAGTGGGTGAACCAACTTAACCCTTCAAGTTAATCTGTCTTCCATCATCTCAGACGTCAGTCCCTTCTGGATCGTTACCTTTTACACAATCCATCCATCTCTTTCTAGGCCTACCTCCACATTCCTAAAGTTCTTGTAGATAAGACGGGTATAGGTTTTTTAATATGCCTACAGAGTTTGCGATAGCCAACGTGCAATGCCAGTACGATAGCCCGTCAGACAACGAGCCGGAGACGGAATCCGCGCCCCGACCGATTGACGACCACACGTACGATCTCCGCGATGAGCCTCCCGCCTTCATCATACAGCAAGTCAACAATGTTAGTATCTATAAAACGGATCGGACGGAATCTATGGATCGGCTTAGATAGCTTTGAACCTTTGAAATGCGGCTCAAAAACGGCCGATTAACAGCTTATACCGCTTTACAACTGTTAAGTAATTTTATCACGTTAAGTTCAAAGTAACAGTGATTACCATATGTCCAGACGTCACAGGTGCAGGGCGCGTCACCGCTAGTGGAGGTGCGGCCCAAAATAATGACCATAGGGCCAGGTTACGCGCCAGGCGTCAACATCCTGCATGTCGGGGACCGCCCACCTTGTGCACAGGTAAGACGCTTATACTAGCGTTACTATGAGAGACTGCTTCTAGAAACTTCTATATTGCCTTAGCAGATGTATCTATGTTGCGTTAGTAACACTTTTTAATATTTACTAACTGTTGCTCGCAACTTTGTCCGCGTAGTTTTAAAAAATAAGTATACTCTGTGTTACTTTGTGGTAACGTAGGTTTTTAACGGTGAATTTATTTTTGAAATCGGGCCAACAGTTTTCGAGCTATTACAATACATACAAAAATACAAATCTTTCTTCTTTATGATAGTATAGATATCGTAGGCAATATCCGAAAGAGACAACATGACTTTGACCAGACCAGATGGTTTCTTTAAATAAGAATCTGTTAAATATCAGATTGGACAGATCCATCAGTCCCAGCCGGAGTTGAGCATCAGCAAGCGCATCCGACGCAGCGAGGTGGTGCTGCGGCAGGCGGCGGACTGCGTCAGTCGCGGACACACCTTCCAGACAGTCTCCGAGCAGTTCAACATACCTATATCCACCATAAGGTGAGATATTACACTCTTTGTTTGATAAGTTTATGCAATAGTAAAAAAAAACACAAATTGCCCCTGCTAAGGCAGACAAGGTCTATCACATTCTCCCAGCCACTTTGGTACTCAAGTCTGCTCTTGGCTTGTTGAGTGTAATTCTTTTGGCCAATAAACAAATAAAGATATTTTTTTAAAGCTTACTTTATTTAAAAACCGATGAGCACAAGACTATGATTATGAAGATGTATGTGTTTGTTTTAAAAATAAAAAAAAATTACAGATTCTTTATGGCGCGTAAAGGCATTCTGCCACGCAGACGACGCGGTCGAAGCGCTCAGGTATGTTGTGTTCTTTTGTGTGTGAACTCCTAAGCCCTGATCCAAAGTGCTAAAATTTCTTAACTTCCAGATGAGTCAGACAAGCACCAGTCCTGAGCCACCGTTCAACATGCAGCACTTCAAGTTACCGGACTACGGTATACCTAAAGACGACTCGAATTCGCCACCGGACATAAAATTACAATAACTCGCCGTCCTCCCCACTATTCTCATACGACCCTTGCCTTGTTCCAAACAATAACTGACAAAAAACCGACACTAAAATAAAAGTATCAAAATGACTAATTCTAGTCATTCAGCGCAGAAAACCCAAAAAAAAAACAAGTTATTTGAACTTGAAAATCATTAGTACCTCATCGTAATTGACTCAGTATTAAAATATCAAATCAAAGTATAAAAAATGGAACACATGATAGGTTTGGTATGAGAATAGTGTCCTTAAAGAAGGGAATGAATTTTGACAAACCATCCAGTAAGATGTAACCCACCACAAATAATTCTTTATAGGTTATATTTGACAATACGAATATTTTAACTTTGTTAAATATTGTTCTGAACTTTAAAAGAGAAATTAACTTCTGCAATTACAACGTTCGTTTGCATCCCTTCCAGTCCGGACTGGTTTAGTACGGTCTCGATTAGGTCGGTCTAGACTTGACTAGTCTGGTATGGTTTAATCAGGTCCGAGTTATTTATTACTCATAGACCGTAATTATCTCATGAAAAAGTTAAAATAAACGTATTGTTATTTTCAATACGATCGCAGCTATAATTAATTTTTAGTAGTTGACACGAGTCTCTTCCTGCATTTTTTGTTCCTATATTTTATTATAAACTTAGTATTTTGATATTTTTAGTCTAATTTGACTGTACTTTGACTTAGTCAATATTTTTTACATTATTATTTCGTATCACTGACCTGTATTATAATAGATAGGCTATAAGCCGTGGTTTTTTGTGTCTATTTGATTTTGGCGTTTGGAATAGAAATGGTGGAAAATGGAACTAATAAAAGGAGAAGGTAATTTCAATAGACCTTTTTAAGTAGGACTGAATACCACGATACAACGGGCTTCTGTAAATGTCAGTGAGTAACACTGTGAATATAGTATATTTAATTAGAATCTCCAAATGTATAAATCTAGTTTCGTAGAATTTTGTAATGCAGTAGTTCATAATTATATTAATAAAATAATAGTTCTTATGTACTAAGCAGCTTTATTAGAATAGCTATTCATATTATACGTTTAGATTGGATATGCGAATGTAGATGACACTAACCTAACTAAAACTAACGTCTAGCTGTCTATGCCATAAATTACCTGTTATAAATGCATGATGATTTTTTTTACCTAATTATTTTTTTTAACCTATGTACAATTTGATACTTTTAGACAACTTATTTAATTGATACTATCGCGTTGAACTCAGAGCAACACTTCTCGCCAGGACTCAGGATGCGCGCCATTATCCATCCTTCTTGCGACTTTGACAGCTGTCAGCTAGGGACGTAACGTTTATGCCGATAATCTAGAGTTGCGCCAACTCTACAGCACGGTACTAATTTTGTTCTTAACAATACATAATCTATGGAAATTATGAAATGGTATCAAAATAATAAATCATACTATCATACTATCACACTCATACTAATATTATAAATGTTAAAGATCGATGGATGGATGGATGGATGGATGTTTGTTATAATTTGTAGCCTAAACTGCTGAACGGATCTCAATGAAATTTGGCACAGATGTAGAGGATAGTCTGGAAGGACACATAGGCTACTTGGTTTTATTTTTTTAATACCACGCAGACGGAGTCGCGGGCGAAAGCTTATAATGACAATAAAAGTAATTCGTCAAAATAAAAAACAAACACTACTTTATGCAACTTAAATTAAAAATATACGTTTTATATGTCAAGCTCAAATATTTCTGTGAAAGAATACTGCAGAACGTTCTCGAATGTTTATTTTTTGGATGCAAATAGCTGCGTTAGTTTTCAGTTAGGTTAGTTTTTGAATAGAATTAGTTACACATTGTAATGCTATTTTGTAGTCGTTCATACAGTTAATAACAATAATATAATCAAATTAATTAAGATCAGTGATAGAAATTATTTTTATACACAATATAGATCTTGTAATAGATTCAGTGTTAGAAGTGTTATTTTTTTGTATAAAACGCAATTTAAAAAACTGTATTCAACCCTACATAAGCCTACATATGAAAATGTCACAAAAACGTATTGATTTTTTATTTTTTTTTTCGTTTATTCGAATTGATATCTTGCAGCCACACTAACAATCGTTAATGGTCAGTTTAGGAGAATCCTAAGTGTACATTAATGTGAGTAATCATTGCTAACAGACTGTATAAGTCCGTGTGTGGACGTTAGTCAACGAAGTTTGTCGTGCAAATAAGTTACAATTCATATTAACAAACAATTTGTAATCAATGCGATAACTTGTTTATTTTCTATTTGTTTTGTACAATTTATCTAAATCTCATTAATTTTGTGAATATTTTTTAATTGTTTTTATGTAGATGTTATGTTAAGGCCTTTGCCTTTCAAGTGGTTGGAAACGTCCTGCTGTCAAATGGGCGGTTTGCGTTTTGACTTTTAGTTCTGTTAAGTTTCTTAATTTTGACAGATGTTTGTGATTTTTTATGAATATTTTGTTTAGTATGTTTGTTATTTTGATAGGTTATATTTTTAGATAACTATTTGTTCTCGAAAAAAACTATATTTGATGACTATACTTTTCTTACATTATGGAATTTAAAAAAGTTAAAAATGTATTTATTCTTTGGCCAACCTTTTAAAAATGGTGAAAACAGCTTGGAAACTGCAGCCGCCATATTGAAATAGCTTTTCTGTTGTCAGCCAATCAGAGGACAGTATTTTCGACAGTGGCGCCACCATTAACATGGTCAATCTTTAACTCCTTAAAGGACGCTTTTGTAGTTGTACTTTGGACAGTATTATTTTATGAACAATATTTTAGAGCCAGTAGTTTTTAGCGATTTATTTGAATCTATTATTGTATATTTTAATTTACGACTTTCCATTATTGGAATGTGTTGTATAATTTTTCAAATATCGCTTTTGATATTTGTGTATACGTAAGCTATTTTAAGACCACAAATTATTACTTTTAGATGTTACATGCATTTAAATTATCAGAAACTGTAAATCATTGCGTGAAAGAGACAGTTATTGTTTTGTGATTTCGTTAAATGACTGATAATTTCATTTTCTGAATATTAGGCGTCTTGAAACGTTATTGCAATTGGATTTATTTGCGTGTATAGTTTGCTTCAACCTTTTTGAGCCCTTAAAAACTAAATGAGTCAAGATCAAGTGTCGTAGTCGTAGTTACAACGCGTCAACAATAATATGTTAGTTACTTATAGTAAGCAATAAACATGATGTCATTTAAGATGTCTTGATACCATGATTTTGTGGTTGCATTGTATGAGGGCTTGATAAAGGTGTGAATTATACTTATGTGCCATGTTCACTGTAATGTGTAGTATGTAAGCCGTGGAGAGGGGAGCTTGGCCCAAAATGGGTTATTTTACAACTTGTATACAATGTGCTGTAGATGTGAGAGTGTGTAGACATACAATGTAATAAAGTATTTTTGTGTAACCTTTTGCCTTTTAATTAATTTCAGTCATAGAGTAACTTAACCAGAGGTAACATTCAATAAAGAAAACAGACATCCAAAACATTAATTTATTTGATTACAAAAATATCCAATTAAAAGATTAATTCAATTTTAGTAATTTAGATTCAGACAACAATTGAATGTATTTTTTTTAATCTATTTTACAATTTAGTCTAAAACCAATGATAGAATTTGCAGCATTGACGAAAGATGTTTTTAATTTTGCGTTACATTAAATTAAATATTTTTTTTATCATATCTAAAAGGAATTTAGAGCAAATTCAAAACAAATTAAAATATCAAATCGGCAATTTAGTAACATGGCATCGTGCACGGCTCAATACAGGGCTGTATGCGTTGGTAATAGCATGGCGTCGGTTCCGGTTCCGGGCAGGGTTCCGGACACGGCGGTATATATGGGTAATAACAAGGGTTCGCGGGTTCTGGGCACGGTACCGGACATGGTTCCGGGCATGGTGGGATGGGGTAATAGCAAGGGTTCGGTTCTGGGCAAGGTTCGGGTTGCGGACAAGGGGGGATGCACTGCGGTGTGTAGACGTACGCGGGGCCGGCGCAGGGTGGGGCGATCGGCGGTGTACAGATGACCGGCTGAGGGATGGTAGGCTCCCGCTGGTTACCGATGCAGACGGTGTCGCCATTTCGAGTCCGGTAGCAGCGCCAGGGGGCCGCCGACACGAGACCGACCAGAGCTGATGTAAGAACACATTAAAAAGTCTTGAACCGTATTTGAAATGTTTTTACCTTTTCTGATCTTCTACTCTTGGACAATAACGTTTATCCGGAATATGTCCAAGATTTTGATGTGTTAAAGTCGAGGTATTTTTATACAACGTAGTTTAAGGACTTAAGAAGTCCCTTGTTTGTACATTTTGTATAAGAACACTACATTTAGGGACTCATTATGTAAGTAACAATATCTCTGAGAGTAGGCAGATTATCGGATTAATAATGTGTACTCACCTAAGACGAGAAGAGCCGAGGAGTGCATATTTGCCGACTGTGGCCGCTGAAGAGATGGCCCATGTTTTATACCAAACTGTGGCATAGAATGTCACATAATGCGACGCTCCGTCAACCATACATACAACATTATACAAAAGTTTAATGTAACGCCATAAGTAAATTACAAGAAAAACAAAACTTTGTTACAACGCTGATTTATGGAAAAAATATTGGATTGGAAACGAAATTGATGATTTATCGGAAATGCCATACTAGGACGTATCTATGATAGATATCTGACGACATCTAAGCACGCCATTGTAATGACTTGAATTGAAATCTTATGAATCTCTGATCTCAAAAAATAACAATTTACAAAATTCATAAAGTGTAGGAAATTAATTATTAGCTAAATTGTTTATTATTAAGACAAACTATAAGACATCGCAGGAATCCTTGTAAGATTAAAACTGTAGCTAATTTAAACAAAACAATTTAACGTAAAAAATTAATACATTATGACATTGACGGAAAAATTGTTTTTATCTTTGCTACAAAATGCTCTAACGGTTGCAAATCAAATAATAACTATCATTGCTACACCGTAGCTTATTCGCTGAAACTATTTCTAAAATAAACATCTGTTAAGATATATAAATGTCAGACTATGAACGTTAAGTTACATCCGGTCAAAGACATGGGGCGACTGACTACACTCGCAGTATTTGGTAAGTTATCCATGAAGACCGATTTGACATCCATTTCCCTTATTGTTTAAGACCGAACAAGCTGTCAAAAGGTTAAAGTAATTCCAAGTTTCATACGAATTGTGGTTTTGTTTCCTAGCTTTAATAGCGTCGACTGCGGCGGCGCCGGCGCCTCAGTTCCTGGAATACTTCCTGCCGAACCCTTTCGTGCCGAGTCCCGAGCCATGCTACGAGCCGTGTTACACGCCGTGTGAGCCGGAGCCAACGCCCTGCATCGAGGCCATTCCGCCCTGCCCCTGTCCAGAACCGATCCCCGAGTGCATCCCGCCGTGCCCTGAGCCTATCATACCACCTTGCCCCTTGCCGTGTCCCCCGCAACCCTGGGATCGCTCCTCACCACCGAGTAAGTACAAACAATACATTGTATTTCCAACTTTAACAAAAATGTAATCTTCAATATTTTCCAGCTCCTGGTGGCAATGGGCCGATCGGCGTGACCATACCGAAATCGAATATCGGCGATAAGCTACGTGCGGCAGGCTTCCAGGCAGTTCCGGTACCGGGCGGTACATTTTACATCCAGCATTTACCCCCTTCAACGATCCAGCCGCCATCGATTATAGTGCGACCGAACCCGCTTAGTCCAATCACGCCGCCCTACATCGTGGTGCAACCGCCGCAGCAGCCGCCGATCGTGCCCCCACAAATCGTCGTGAGACCGGAACCGCTACCACCGATAACGCCGCCACCGATCGTTGTGCACCCACCTCGACCGTGCCCCATCCAGCCTGAGACAATAGTAGTACGTCCCCCACGACCAGGGCCTATCCAGCCCCCAGCGGTCACAGTGACACAGCCCCAGCCGTCTCCTATCAATCTGCCGCCTATCATAGTGCGTCAACCCACACAGCCGACAATACAACTACCAACGATTTCTATCCCCACGTCAGCAATTCTCAGCAGCCCTCCCTGCGCCCCCTGTGCCCCCGCGCCCTGCATCCCGGAGCCCTGCCCTCCTTGTCCGGGACCCTGCCCATACTGCATCAGTGGTTAATTTTCATTAATCGTTCTGTCTACATATTTACATAAGTACAAACACATGAAATAGCATATAACATACAGTTTAAGAAACTGTATTTATCTGCTTATTATGTAAATATGTACCAGCACGTTTCGTAGGATCTCTTACACGACTTTCAGCAAGTTAAAGGATTTGATTGTTTTAAATGGCCGCACGATATTTCGACTGTATTTGAATGTTTGCAAACGCTAGCTTAATATTGTAAAATATTCTATTTACTGTATGTATTTCTTTAATAAATATATGTTATTATAAGTAGTTATATTTTATTCAACCTGGTCTGCTAGAGATATGATAAACATAAAAAATAAATGAAGAATAAAAAAGATAGAGTCCAATTGAAATATTTTTCGTTGGGGAAGTTGGTTAAAACATTTTTTCCTTGCAAAAGTAATTTGCATAAAAATAAAATGCTTTTTTTTCTTAAAGTTTTAAAAATCTATATTGCATAGCTTTCTAAGCTTAGATATGTGACGTTAGTAAATATTTCACGGCGGGACACGCCCATCCAATATGCCTTTAAAATCTTTTAAAAAGATTCAAGATTATTTGGGAGAACATGTTCGTAGCGCCATCGACAGTATTTGTTGATTTATTTTACAGCCGGCAGGGGCGCTGCACAAAACACTATTGTCGATGACATTATAACGTTTTTTGGAACATTCACAATAAGCCCTCAAATAACTTTATTAAAATCGTTTTCTGACGTTAAAAGAGGAATTGTTTCTATCAATCAAACTCTTTTTAACTTAGAAATGAAACAAAAATCAAAGGACAGGAGAAACATTTTTTAGCTACGTTTAGTTTAGATGGATCTTGATGAAATTTAGCAAAAATGAAGACTATAATCTGGACGAACACTTGGGCTAATTAAGTACTAGCTTTTTTTTATTATACCACTCGGACGGTGTCACGGTCAAAAGATGTTATTTAAGAAATCTGTTGAATATCTGAAAATTTCATGCTATTAAGTAGATACGAATTATAAATAAACCTCAAATTGAAATAGTTACATTGTTCTGTAACGAAATAAGATTGGATGAAGTTAAGAAAATCCATATGAACGCGTCTAGGTTCAACTAATATTATAAAGAGGAAAGATTTGTATTTTTGTATGTAGTTATTGAAATAACTCAAAAACTTCTGAGCCGATTTTCACAACCCTTTCATAAATACAAATTATAGAATCTGAAACGTTTTAATTATAGAATTTGTCAAGACTCGAACGTGAAATATAAATCAGTAAATAGATGCATGGTTTTTCAAATCTCATAAATTTTGTCGATGACGTTATGAATTTTTTTCTCAAACTTTCTTGTTGGACCGTAACCTCAAAATGCCCAATTACCATACAAAGTGATTGGCTAAAGAAGTATAGGGTCATATCGTTAGACCCCAACAATTTACAATAAATTAAAGATCTCTAAATTATAAGATGGTCGAGAGACCTTGAAGAGATAAATTGAGAAATTTGAGAGTATTTAGGTGAAATTTTTGCGACACGAATTTTATACATCAATAATTAGACAAATTATAACTTTTTTGCCTTTGTTTACATTTAATTCGTTTGGTAAAGCTTAATTAATTTTACATGCGTAAAACCAAAACATAAAAAGCCGCAACGAATTGTTTTATCAATGTTTCACTTTTTTTTATTTGGACATAATTTATCTGTTGCTTATATTTGATTTGCATTTTCTTAAAAATATTTTAAAAGTAAATCATAAACCGTTGTAAACGTTGAAAAATACGAAATATTTCATAAACATCTAAGCATATTTGAAATTTATTCCAACGAAATAAGTTACATTTTACATTGGAATGTTATATTTATATTTTGGGGCAAAAATAACATTTTCTTGTATAAAAGTTGCCAAGAATTTTTTGAAACACCAGACGACCGCAAGATGGCGCTGGGCTCCACAATTTGGTTACTTGGTAAGGATTTTTTGATTATTTTAAGAGTCTTATTTTACTACCCACTCCATCAATAACCAAAGCCAAAATACTTGTAAGAAATAGTTTAAAACACAAATTATTCGTTATGGTTGTCTATTGATTGTTTTCCAGCTCTTCTGCTCAGCACGGCGAACTGCCAACCGATACCAGACCCCGAGCCCCAGTACCCCTGCGCAGACTACCAGCCCTGCGAGACCTGGGAGCCTCCACCCTGTGAACCCTGTCCCCCACCATGTCCTCCACCATGCCCTCCGCCCTGTCCACCACCCTGTCCACCGCCCTGTCCCCCACCTAACCCGCTGCCCTGTGCCGAGGATGAGGTTGTGCAGATTGGACCATGCAACCCTTGCGAGCGGCCGATCAACTATTTGTATGGACAGGCACCCCCTGGTAAGTGTGCATACGAAGAACCACTCCGGACCACCTCAAGATAGATTGACGATAAATGGATTGGTAAAGTAGAAATTAGTAAAATCTTGTAGCACTACAAAACTAATTCTTTCAGGATCAATCATTATCAGACCTGGCCAGGTTCGTTTTAGGCAGCAGCAACCGATCACAGTGAAGCCTGGGCCCATCCAACTACCACCACCGGCCGTGGTATGGGTCAAGCCGGCGGCAGTTCAACCCGACACGCCAGCGCCCATCAACGTACGCCCCCCGCCAGTTCAGCCGCCCACGCCTGCGCCGATCACTGTCAGGCCCAAACCCGTAACGCCACCCAGACCACAGCCCGTTGTCGTCAGACCAGCACCGGTACCAGTACCAAAACCAGCGCCCATTAAGGTTTGTTCAAGTCATACAGGGCATTAATGAGACCAAAATAGAGCTATGTCTTGTAATAGTTTAAAAAATTGCTTTTGTTAATTACAGGTACAACCACCACCAGTACAGCCACCGGCACCTGAATTATTAGTTGTAAAGCCTCCTAGGATCAGCGTACCGGGACTGCCCGTCGTCTGCTTCCAGCCCAACCCTTCATCTTCCTTCAGGACGTCAGGCAGCGCGCTCATATCTCTCTACCAGTCGCGACAGCCGTGCCCCGAACCCATTCCACCGTGTCCTCCAGTACCAATACCGCCGTGTCCCCCCGGACCAATTCCACCCTGTCCCCCTATACCAATAAATCCGTGCCCAATACCCATACCACAATGCCCACAACCGTGCCCCATACCAATTTGCGCGTAACTAAATACGATGATATCTTCATATATTTGGGTTTATAATTTATTATTAGTATGTTTATAAAATTACAATTTAAGCTAAGTTTGCAAAATGTATGAAAGCGGTCGAAATAAAGTGTGTATATATTTACTATTGCAAAACAATAATTTGTTTTTCTTTATAATAACGAAACACACTCAAAAGGGATAAAATTTAACCAGGTCTTGAAGGTTGGGGTCAAAGAAAGTCTCGTATTCAAATAGATATATTTTATTTGGCCAAAAATAAATTGATTAAGTACAAGTTTTTGAATTTAAACATTTTTTTTTCTTCTAACAAGCAAGTTTTAAATAAAATATGTATTGGGTTGAAGTAACGTATGGTAGAGCGGTTACAAAATGTAAATAAACCTGCTAGTTTGGTGTTTTTTATTTGCTCATGATTCTAAAAAGTCAATTCTATAAGATTACATAGAAATTGCTATGAAGTGATTATATTGAGATTCCGCGTTGTTTTGTAGTTTATGACTTTGTAATGCCAAGGGTCGCTGTTCACCCAAATTTACGAGCATGTTGGTATTATCGCTCGATGTATGGTAGGAAGAGTGGCTGTTTATAAAAAAGGAACTCCCGCCGCTCCCAGGCCAACGCCCAGTCCATTCAATGGCAGACCTCCAATAGGCAAACCACCTAGAGGCAAGCCTCCCAGAGGTAGGCCTCCTAGAGGCAAGCCTCCGAGAGGAAGTCCGCCTAAAGGCAAGCCTCCGAGAGGCATGCCACAGGGACTTAAACCAATATTAGGTGTACTTTCACAAACAGTAGAAGTTCCTAAACCGTTGATCATCGGTAAACCAGTATAAGGATAGCCTAGTGCACCGTAATTTAAAAGATTAGGTACATTTTCGCATACAGTTGTAGAAGCGATATTTGGTACACCGCAAGGCATACCCAAAGGCAGACCGATCGGGTAATTACCCCACTGGTTTAGTAAGTTGAGTCCTCCCAGTCCTCCCAGTCCTCCGAGCCCGATGTTGGGTGTGCTTTCGCAGACGGTGGCGGAACCAATGCCGGGGTAAGGCAGGCCGTAGGGGCAGCCGAGGCCGCTGTAGAGGGGAACTCCACAGCCGTAGTAAGGGTAGAGATTGGGTGCAGATTCACACACGGTGGTGGCGCCACCTAGGGGCACGTTCTGCGCAGACTCACACACCGTCGTCTGCCCCAGCGGATTGCAATGCGCCGAGCACACCAACGCTGGAAGAAAGATAAAATTTACAATTCTATTATTCTAAGTTACAGTTAAAAATGAATTATTATTACTTAAGTTTATTTTCTTTAAGTAACTTAATTGAAAATTCTAAAAAGTGAAACTTGAGTTTTTTTCAGTAACTTCATTACGTAAGCTTCCGTGAAAGTTAAACGTCAAATATCCAGTAATGATGTAAGCTGATAAGAAATATCAGGGGAACTTACAATTAAAAGAAATGATTTAAAAATAATGATGCTCCTAAAACACAGTTATTACTAGCTTAGGAGAAAAGGGTCCCACTAACTGTACTAAACTGTCTTAGATCAATAAAGAATTGTTATTTTTTATTTATTTATTTGTAATCAAAGACAACTTACCAACGAACAATACACAAGTGGAGGTATTCATATTTGGTTTGACTTCTGACTGTCTGTACCACATTCATTTATGGCCCGCTATATATATGAAAAATATTAATTTCATTGTATACATTTTTGACATTAACACGGTTCATGGATTTCATGAATTAATCAAAAAATCTCTTATCTTTTTAATTAAACTAGAATGTTTAAAATCTTACGAAAGTTTTGATTTGTAAAATGGACGACATAAGAACAAACGGCTGTTGCAACGAGTTACGGTTAATAGGATTGATATTGTTTATAATAATCTACTAAGAATATCGTATAACGCATTTCCCCGCTTTAAAAAAAAGGGATATCGTATGAATAAATTCCCCATCGTCATAAGGATTTAGGTTTCTTTCGAATATCATCGGTAATAAATTCTGTCAGCTGTATCTTGTTTTGGATTAAAGCAATGAATCCTACGCAATTAGTTCTATTCAGATGTTTTTCTTGGGAAAATTCCCTGAAAGTCACGGTTATTATAATCGATTACATTTTATGTCAATATTAACGCATGTTAAGTTTTCGTGCGTTCTTAGAATTTTGTATAGCGTATCGTCAATTGTTACAAAACAAATGAACAACCAAATCATAATTCTTTCAAACCTAAACTTAACATATTAGTCAAGTCTATTTTGGATGAAAATACATACAGAAAACTGCTTACATTCGGACACACGTAGCCAGAGGACTTATTTACACTGAATTGGTTATTAATTAAGATTCGTTAAGTTTATTTTTTTAAGTCGCTGTAAATTTAGACACTCAAGAAACCAGGACTTGGTAATACAATAGTGTTTTTGATTAACGATCTTCATTTAAATTCATTAATTATTATCACAGGTTTTGGTTTATTTAAATTTAAATGGTCAATTGAGCAACTTTTTAATTGATGAATGTTATTTTTAAAGATGCCAAAAATATAGAAAAAAGAAAGAAACCGGAGAATTAGAGAACTAAAATATCGGGAAAACAATATGAATTTCTTTACTTCAGCGTTGCTTTTGATTGTTGGTAAGATTTTATTTATTCTATCAGTTGCTTTTAATTATTTTTATTCCTAATGTTTTACACTTACGCACGATTATGGCGCCATCTATATAACATTATCTAAACAGGCACGATGTACACGGCTGTGTGTGCCAACGGCCAGGTCTTCCTCGCTCCCGCAGGACGTTACCTCTGTCCGCAGGGTGGAGTAACTCGCTTCCAAAACCCATCACCTTATCCAATGAACGTTCTTGTCGCGTTGGAGAAATTAACTCCTGGCAATAGCGGCAATGGTACGTATTTAAAATCACTACATAGTTACATTCGGTACTTAACCCACTCAGAGTTTAAAATTGTCTTCCTAAAAAACAGTTTACGACTTTGAGATCGACAGAATATTTGAATTTGGTTGATATTTAAAAGAGAGGAGATAAGTTTTCTTTCCAGTAATGAACAGAAATAGCTACAATTCTTGGGTCAAGATATAGTAGTTTTTTTGTTATAAAAATAATACCTAATATTTCGTTCAACCATTCCAACTAAGCTCTAGGTTTGCGCTAGGATATGGTTCACGACAATAGTCGAATGGCGGGATTCGAACCCTCGACCGCAAGATCGGTAGTCCGTGCCCCAAACTATTGGCGCTTAAAGTTACTTATAATTATGTGATTAATTTACAATATACAGTCGCCCCTGCTGAGTCAACCCCTCCGCAGCCGCGCTGCCGGCCTGACGCTAGCCGCGTCTTCACCAAGCTGTTCAGCATACCTGGTGCCATCGCTGACTCCTTTCTCAGCGGAGAAATCATTATTTAAACATCAATAAATTTTGTTTAAACATTAACTGCCATTGTACTTCAAATTTAACTTCTGTATCTGAGAGTAACTGTTCTGTAATCGAGACGATTCTAGATAATTCTATAGCTTGCTGATTTATACAAAAGAAACAATTGTTTTCTCATCGTTGTATATTAACATAGACTAACATTTTATAAGTAATATTTTGAGTTAAAACTTTCTAATTTCGGTAGGTCGTTAAGTCCCACTTAGTGTCCAATTATTTTGTTTTAGTTCGACGTGTTTTTACTTTCCTGATAAAGCATTTTTAAAAGCACTAGCGCCGGCTTGTAACGCGTCTAGGAACCTCGGAGCTTCCGTAGTAAGGGTTTTGGTAAACTCCTCGAAGTTCTTATGCTGTTGTGTGGCCAGTTTAGTGAGACCTTCTTTGAACGTGTCTATGTTAATGTTGTTAGGGTCCGTCACGTCTTTGAACACGTCCCGAGCTTTCTCTTCCGTTAGTTTTACACCGTCTATAATTTTTGCTAAAAATGAAATAAGTATAAGTGGATGCTAGCGATTATTCCCAACGGCCACCCCGCTCTGTCCCCATGTGAGAATAAAAAGTTACATCCGTCCCACCTTGTAAGCCCACTATCACCAATCAGGTGAAAGATGGAACCGCTATGAAATAAAATAAGTTCCAACGGTCCTCTCGTCGCAATAAATGGGACGGATGAAACTTTTTATTCTCATCTGTTCCCACGTGGGGACAGAACGGAGTGACGGTTGGGGATAATCCGATGCAAGTAGTAATTTTTTTTAGCTTAGCTATTTAGTTTCGAGCGTTGGTAGAGGGGTAGTTAAGCACTGAACTTGTAATATACAACAGATCTTGGGTCAAATCCATTCACAGAATTTAACAAATGGATTGTCGAATTTTAAATGTACCCGCGGTTATATGTTTACTAAGGCTCAGCTACCCATAGAGTAGGGCACCGGGCACCTTAATAATGTCGTTATCGACGATTTTATCAAAGACTAGCTTTCGCCCAAGACTCCGTTCACGTGGAATTAAAAAGAAAGTGCCTATGTGTTCTTACAGACTATCCTCTACATCTATGCCATATTGCATCGAGATCCATTTGGCCGTGTAGGCTACAAACTAACAAATCCATCCATCTAAACTTTCGCATTTATAATATTGGTATGATTTGTAGTAATTACCATCTTTCATCCATTGTACGACACCGTCTATGGAATTTTTACCAGCTTTTATAAGTTTATCGAACTGCGGCTCCATTTTGTATGCGACGAACAGAGCGAATACGATAAGAATAATGGTACAAGTAAAACAGGGAATTTTGAATAATTTGTAAAACTTTTTTATAAAAATGTTAGTCGATGTTATTGTTTATTGACACTGTCATAATGACATCAAGTATATCGGTGTCATAGTTTTTTTGACTTTTTAAAGTTATTTTTGAATGAATTCCCAATCTTCGTATACTTAAAACCCGTCAGTCTATGTTAATGTCTGTAATTAATAAAATAATTGCAATACGCCATCAACCGTAATAATAAGCGACGAGATAGCGATCACCAAAGCATCAAATTAGCACAAAATGCCATGTCGTATAGCCTATCCACTTTATAGATAATTCAACTCATAATCTTTGACAATTTATAGTCTGTGGAACTTTCGTATTTTAAAATGCATTTCCTGGATTCCCTTTCTTATGAGTTATTAAATAAAAAAAATAAATTATTCGACATAATTCTTTTTTATTTCAAGATTATTTCAATACAAAAATATAATACTCTAAAATTACACAATACATATTTTAACGAGGCATTGTAATTATTTTAAGCCTAAGTTTTTATAAGGAGTAACATAACTTTGTTGATAATCTAAAGGTCTAATGCCTTTCACACTAGGCTAGTGATTTAGTCGAAAGCAAGTTTAGTAAAACGTGGACAGCAAAAATTCATATAGCTTAGCAGATTTTATAGTATTTTAACTAATAAATCACTCGGTACTCGACTAAATTCCTAGCCCAGATATAACAGTCGCCAGGCATTTCTTAAGTGTTGCCTACATTGCATTATAGTACTTTTCGAGTATTTCGAAACATTCATAAAGATTAGATATTTTTTTTTTAATTTTCTATCAGACAATTTGTAATTTACGGCAACAATATTTTTGATTTCATTTCAATAAGTAGTTCAAGAAATTTGCATTAAAAATATTATATTTGGTTTAGTATCGTGATTATTTTATTTATACACAAAAACTAATACAAAAAAAAACATACAATAAAATGTCCAAAACTCAACTAATAAAAATCCATCTCAACCTATATACAATTATACAATCGTTAAGGATGACGTCATCCAATTTATTTACAATTCAAACTAGAGTCCGACGAATATATCTGGCCCGGTGAGTCACTGTAAACGATTCAAAGGGTAGTTTTGTAAACATGCAATATCTATTAAGGCATAGAAAGAGATACAAAACAAGCAACAGAACAAAACCTGGTACTACTTTTTTACATTTTTTTTATTATAGTTTTACATATGCACCGGGTCAGATAAGTTCATCGGTCTATATTCGTTTAATTCGAGATGTTTTGACAGATGTCAAACATGGCGGCGCGCGAAACAAAATGGCGGCCCCCGTTTCTATAAAAACATCGCAGATCGCGCGAACCTGAGATGATTTTCATTCGAATATCTAACAAAGAAAGCGTTGTTGCTTTCCAAGAAAACAAAATGGCGGATTTCGTTTACTTAATACCAATACAAAGATATATTTCATATAACTTTGGTTTATTTTGTTTGTCCAAAATTTCTATCGTGGAGTTAATTTACATTTTGACATACATTTCAACGCTAAAATTGATATGTTTGGAAGCTCAAAGGAGTTTTAGGAAGCATTTAAAAACTCTCCTCAGTGTTTAGTATTTTATAACCAAACGCTAAATTAAATTACTGAGTACAAACTCATGGAATATATTGCTTTGATTTGTTTTGATTTTTTTATTACAAAATATTAAAAAGATATTTGTACACAAAAACATATAAAAGTTGTATAGAAAATAACTATAAACAAAACGAATTTATATCTATACTAAAAAAAATACAATTATACAAGAATCAATGGCGTGTCAATGGTCAATTTTAAAAGACATCAATGGTTATGTAAATATTTTTTAATTTTTCTTTTTGTTTTTATTTAATAACGACAATATAGCATCTTTACAGAATATATACTCGGTCATTACTTTAACGTTGTGCCCGATAAGTATTTTGTGACAAATTTTTTATAATAATTTAATTTTTCAACAATTTAATAATCTGTCTCTTCTTTAATCATATTGCATATTATATTTCCTAATTTGGCCATATTGTTGTAAATTATAAAACTCATTACCATATTTCAAAGCAATACAATGATTATGGCGTCCCTTGGCTCAGTTTTTAATATTCAAATTTCGTCTAGAAAAGAAGCATTTTCTCGTCCATTTAATAGTATTAAAAAAAAACTCCATTTCAATTGAGCTAATTGCTACCATCTTTGACCTTTTTCCTACTAATTAATCAGTCGTAATCATCCGTTAAGACTCGGCTGTTCTCGTGTCGGATGCTTCGGTATGAAAGAGACGGTCAGCATGTCGTCCTCTTCTTGCAACAGACATCCGTCGTTACTTTTACTTCGGTTGAATAACCTAGAGGAAATTATAGGTTAGAATATAGTTTTAAAACAATTAAACTTTGATTAAACAAAGACAGAAATGTATTAAATCAAATTTACATCGACAATAAAAAGCGATAATGTATCCGCTACCTTATACAATAACGTAATATGTAAAGCGAATATATGAAATAAATATATAAATAGCGATATTGTGTGGTTATGTATTTAAGCGAATAGAAAAGAAATCAAAATATGCACACACAGACAATCAAACAAAACAACCATATTTCCATACAAATTATTCATATCATAAATATTATTATATACATAACGAAATTAAGTATTCACAAAATATTTTATCGGCTACAAAAAACTTGAATAAAAAAAGACTAAAGTAACTCTCTAGCATGTAAAAACTCCCATAGTTAGGGCCGATTTTACCATGATCAAAGTCCTGGGCGCCTTATATCCGGGACGGTCGCCCTATCATGCCCTAACACTAGTACCCACACCATACCCTTACTTTACCATTAACCATCACATACCACCATCAAATCCCATACAAAAACACAAACAGACAAACAAACCATCCACATCACACACACAAAGTAATGCAGCTGTCAACTACACCTGTAGATCACTTCCACGTCGGCTGCTTGTCGCTGCGCCCAACAACACAAGGTTTAGTTACACTCAGAGACAGTGCTAAGATATTGTAGATCAGTGGTTCCCAAAGTTTACTTCGACTATGAGCCACCAGTCGATAATTAAGGGGTGCAGGTACTATTAAAATATCCTATTCGAAGTAGTTTTTATAGGGTGGTGACCATTGCAACGCTCATGTCCCTCGATGATTTTTTTAATTATATTTATGGACCCCAAGGGGTCTGAACTTTGGGAATCACTGGTTGGAAAACAACATCTACAATGCGACGTAATACCAGTCTTTGTATTTGTCCAAAGTCGAATTGTATCGTATAATATCGAGTCGCTAGAGGTCGCTTTCATAAGACAACTAGTAAGCTATAGAAAATGTTCTTTTTGACAAAATGTGCATTATATTTAGTATGTAAAAGATAACGTTTAATAGCGTGAAGAAAAAATAGTTAAAAGACGTATTAAAATAAAAAATATAGGACATGTGGTTTTGAGGACATCATAATAGATGGCGTTAGTGATGATTGCAAAAAAGTGTTCAAGTGTAGTTTACGTATAAAATTCCAAAAATCGAAAATCACATCGGTACGGTGGGATTCGAACCCAAGACCTGTTGATTACTAGCCACGTGTCCAAAGTCTTTAACAGTGGTAGTGCCCGCTTTGACATCTTAGCACGAATAGGCCGGCACGCCCCCAGTAATACCACGACCACACAGAGGCGTGAAATGGAAGCAATTCCGTGTTTCGTCTGATGAGTGTGGCGCCGGAGGTCTAATTTTAGTCCCTTTCCCTTTCCATCTTTTTCTTAAGAGGAAAGGATGGGAAGGAAAAGTAGATTTGACGGTGGAGGAGACGCATAGGAAGGGGAAATGTCCTCGTTACGTGCGTCTCCTCCTCCGTCAATGAAGGGTAGGCAACGCATCTGCTATTGCGGATGTCTATGTGCAGCGGTCACTTTCCATTTCGGTGGATTCAGGTGGCCACTTGCTCTTTTGCCACCTTGTATTATAAAAAAAAAGCTCTGTGCCACCGACGGTGTCAAGTTATAACTAGATTGAAGGTAATGTAGGTACTTGGCCAGCGGCGAGGCGGCGCGCTCGCAGTGCAGGCGCTCGTCCAGGCCGCGGTGCACCGCCACCGCCTGCAGCTCCGCGCTCGCCAGCGACTGCACGTACTCCGCCGTGCGCAGCTGCTCGCCGCTAGACTTGGAGAACCTATTACAATAACAATGCCATGTTTAAACTATGATTTACACTAGATTTAGCCCGCGAATCCGTCCGCGAGGAAATAAAAAAAAGTAGACTATCCTAGAGGATGTAGACTTCTATGCCATATTTCATCGAAAACCATTTAGCAGTTTAGACTACAAACTCTAATGTCCATCGATCTAAACTTTCGCATTTATATTAAGGGCCTGTCCCACCACTGGCTGATAAAAGCTCAGTTAGCTTGAAAATGACGTCACTGTTAGGGAAAGGAACAATATCCGATATTTTCAACACATATATTACACGTTGGATTGTTATCCGACAATTTACATATTGGTGGGACAGACCTTAAGTATAATTACAATTTTAACCTCTGCCAAACTTTAAGCCACGTTAGAAAACGAAGTATTTAAAATCCGTTAATATTTAAAATACTAAACTCACAATAAAATTATAACTATATTAAAATAAATAGACATGTTATGGTTTTCTATATGAATTAAAATGTTTAAAAAATAAAAAAGTTGATAATTTACTTACGTCTTGAGTAGTAGACTGGAGCAGACCACAGACACGGAACTCATCGCCATCGCGGCCGACGCCATCCAGGGCTGCCAACATTACAATTTATTAAAAACTTCAATAAAAACAACAAAAACAAAAAAACATATATGTTATTCATTGTAGCTTTTTAATGGTAAAAATTTACCAACCAAGTAGTTTTTGAGTTATTTCAATACATACAAAGATATACAAAAAATTAAATCTTTCCTCTTTAAAATATTAGTATAGCTTGCCACTAGATGGCGCTATATTAAACTGGAAGTACTCTACCTGTAATTGTAGACCGTACAAAGCGAACGCTCCGCTCGCGAGCGGAATGCCGAGCAAGTTGTACACGCTCGCGAACACAAAGTTAAGTCGAATTCGTCGCACCGTACTGCGAGACAGCTCCAGACATGCCACCACATCTAACAGATCATTCTGGAAAAAACAAAGAAATCTATTATATGCCTCTGGAAAACATACAGCATTGCTTATGAAGATGCGTTATATACTTAGCTTGAATTTCGCGGTCATTCGCCGTTGACAGG